CGAGAAAAGGCCAAAATAATGGTTTTTTTGTGAATCTTTTGGCCATTTCGGGTCCCATCTTAAAGGATTTTCATATGATTTTTGAGGATCTCGAATGTTCAAAAAATACTGACGGATATGTGTTTTATTCTCATTGTTCATTTTTGTGCGTCCTCCTATGAGAACCACCCGATTTTCAAACATGTTCGTTTCTAGGCCAAATTTTATCGTTTAATGATCAAAAATTAAACCGAGTTTGCTCAAAAATTCATTCAAACAATGTTGCAGCTGCTCGAGTGCGTAGCGCGAGAGCAAAAGATGGAATAACTAGAATTCCTGCGGTAGAATTTGTTCATTCCATTTTTGAGAACCGGATATTCCAAACAGACAAACAGGGTTCATTTTTTAAAAACTCCATTAAGTTGATGATTGATTCCGAACCTCTTAAAAACATTTTGAATCGAAAACATCGAGAAACAGTTTTCCACCCAATTTGCATTGATCATTTGATCGACCCCTTGTCAAACGACAATAATATCAGCAAGGGCGACAACGAAAATTCGCCCTCGCTCCTAATTATATATCATCGTCACTTTTTGTTGTTTGATCTCGTCGATTCACAATCGTGCGGCTGACAAACAACACAAATTAGTGGCTGATGGGTTGCAGCATTGAAGGGTTCGAAAATTTTCGTCTGAAATTCTTTTCGAACACTCTGCTTTTTGCGTATGTCTGACTAAAGTGCATTCCGGAATTGGGTGTACTCTTCGTTCTCCTTCTTCATGGTTATGATTTTTAACAAAAGCCCTTCCCCACGTCAACCGCAGTTTTTCTCCTTGTCGTTGAGTAGCACACTGCTTGATGGGCGGGGCCTCATCATGCCTATGTATGGCTGTTGGCTTGCTTCCTACAGAAAGTTCGCTGCTCTACTCGATCCGAGCATTTCATCGGTCAAATTTTGTCTTGCTCTTTCATTATTATTGCTCACTTCCACGATCTTTTGATCTCGTGCTGTATTTGAATTTGAGCTGCTCGTACAATTCTATGTTTGCCGCGCTCTCCAAAGAATCAATTGATGGACCGAAGACTGCGTACCGCATTGCGGAAAACAACATATTTGACGCGCAAACTCAAATATTTGTGAATTGCTGCTTGGAAACTTGTTACAATGCGAAAATGTTGAGAAACTCTTTTGTTAAAGCGTCGGCTCCGTAAATCAACATCGATTGAATCAGCTGTCCACCAATGCGAATTTCGAATCATGATTTTTAAACATCATGTTTGGCAATGCACTATGTTACACACTCGTTACACAGCCCGCTTCCATACATTCATTCATTTTGCTATAAATATGTAGTTGCGCAAATACATAGCAAAGTATTTGCACAAAAAGTTGCGTGCGAAACTCAAAATCAGCCGAGGTTATATCATCGACGCCATCGAAAATACGAATTCATTTATGTTGAAGGTCAAATCTCAGATTTGTCGGATTGATTGCAGCGCATAAATACTGTATATTCTCACATGTCTGGTGATATTCAAGACAGTCCAAATAGTTAAGAATCAAACCCACATGCTGGTATTTATTTTTTATTTTTTTTTTTGATAACAATCCCAGTAGGACGCATTCGAATGTGTTCTTTGTCTGTAGACAATATCTATAAGATTAGGAATATCTTTGAAAATCGCTCGCGCGGAACCTGCTTTATCGTCTTGTTCCATTCTATCCATGTCGTTTTCCTTTAGACATCCCTTATCAAATCAATATTTTATTATGTGGAATTGGTAGAGCAACTTTTGAAAATCATGAATATTATGCAAATCAATTCGGTCTTTTCAATGTTTGACAGCGTTGTGAATTCAATTCTCCAACCGGTCCTTTTTCGCGATTTACTTTGTGATCTACCGATTAGATGAGATAAGATACATTTGAACTTTGAAAGTTTGATCGCACTGCTAACAAATTGACTCATGTTTGTGTATTTCGTTTCTCGAATGTTATATGTGTTGCCGAATGTCGCCTTCCTTCTAGAAATCGTCCAACCATTTCAAAGATCATCTACGAGATTCCGACGGTGTCTGGGATTTTGAAACGATTTTAAAAGATTCTATTTCACAACGAATCAAGATCATCGGCGAATCGTTTCAATAAGATGACAATCAAACCTACAGTAACCCTTTTCTCTTGACAAATCAGATCCCACTGAAATTTTGGTTAATACAAAATGTTCAACTTTGAAAGGTTAATCGATTTCATCGGAACGCGAATTCGATGAAATATAATTGTATATTTTTATGGAAAAAAATGTTTCAATTTGTCCAGCAAATATTGCCACTAAATGTTCGATCATTGGTTTTTTTTTTACTATTACCAAATCAGAGACCATTGACTACTTGAATTTTTTTTTCAATTTTGCTAGCTACCAATTTATTGGTCCCATATAATCAAATGCTCTTAAACTCAGTCATTTTGAGCTTTTAAAAATAACCAAAGAATTCAAAAGTAAATTTTAATTATTACGCTCTTTCACGTCATGTTCATCAAGACTCTTCTAAATTAAGCACTAAGCTCAATTAGTTTTTCTTTTCATACGAGACACAAGGCGACGATTCAAATGATACAGTAATTGCACAAAAAATTTCTTGACTATTTTTGTTCTGGAATACAGTATAGTCTTATTAATAGACACATTCGGATTCTGTTATCAGATTTTCCTTGCAAATTAAAAAAATACATATCCAACAATGATTGGCAAAAAAAAAAAAATCCAATTCAGCCACCACGTGCTCACGCGCGCGGCAATAACCCTGATCAATGAAATTGTCTTTGGTCTCTATTGGTCGGCGAGAAACACTCTTTCCGGGGCGGCGGCAAACAGTTCAAAAAATCAAAAACTGATCGGATTCGCAGGCGGGCGCGGCGAAACGCCGCCCATTCGCAACACAATTGTCGTTTCCTCCGGCTCCTCCATCTTCTTCTACTCTTCCCCCCCCACGCCTCTCCTCGTTTCAACCCCCGACGAAACAGCTGCAGTGGGGCAGCGGCACGCATGAGGTTACAGTCGCCCACCGAATTCCGGTCATTGGACTTTTCGATTCATATACATATTATTTTTCATATACATATTATTTTTCATATACATATTATCGCCCGCCGACTATTTTTTGCTCTACCAAACCACACAACACTCAAATCGAATTGTCCGAATCGTCGTTTTTTATTAGCTTCATTTTATTGCCTTCAGTATTTGTTTGTGGCATCGTAAGAAACAATTATGTATGTTTTTTTTTCTGCAAAAGAGCCCCCCTAAGCGTGCCCTATTTACTTCAGATTCCCCCACCGAAGCTCGTCCTTCTTCACATCTCCCTATTTTTTGCAGAAGAGAGAGAGAGAGAGAGTAATGCCCAATCGTTTTTGCTTCCTTGTTACTTCGAGTTGCCCTTCATATTTTTCAAGGATTTCAATAACAACAACGGGGCGTGGCCAAAAGGATGCCACGCCCACTTTTTTTTCTCCAAACTGATTCGCTTGATTTGACTCAATTTCGCTTATATTTTATTGCATTTTTTTTGGATGGGAGTGCTGGGGGCGGGGGCTCTCTGTATTTTCCGGAAAACTCGACTGAAAAACAACAACATGGGACGCATTTTGCACTCGGAGTCGTCGGCTCATGCACACAAACACCTCCCATTCGGTGTTATTGCATTATTTGTGTGTACGTTGTTGTTGTTGTTGTTGTTGTTGTTTTTTTTTTTGTGTCCGCTTATTTCCTGCAAAAAATTGTTGCACATCCCCCACCGCTGCGTGCAATTCCCTCTGTTTACCCATCGGCAATCGGTTTTTTTGGACTCGCTGTTTTTAAAGGCACATTCGTTCTGGCGAGAGATGAACTCACCCTTGGATTCTCTAGTTGGGATGGGTCAACCCAAAACAAAAAATATTGAAACGAGTGCGGCCACGCCCCACATATCTATATATTTTTTTCATCGTTCACTGCATTTGTGCTTTTTGCTCCTAGCAGCAGCCGCAGCTTCTCCTAGTGCTTGCTGCCGCTCCGAAAAGGCCAAGAAAACAATTTTTCGTCATTCGAGTGCGCGCTTTTTGCAGGACGAGCGAAAAGGACCACAAGCATTTTCTCGTGGTCCTTTTACGCGAGAGCTCGCTCGCTTGCTCGCTCGCTTGCTCGCTCGCTTGCTCGCGCCACCATCGCCTTGCCGTTATTGTTGTTGTCGTCGTCGTTGAAAATAAATTGGAAGTACGCTTGCAAAATTCCCAAATAATATTGAACTACCGTAATCCATTCTAATATTTTATTTAAAAGCGAAAGCGATTCCACGTTTCCGTTAAACGCTCGTTTTCACACAAAATGTGTCGAGTTCATTTCCTCGATTTCCATTTTTTTCTGTCAAAAAATTCCTGCTCATCTCAATGTTTTTTTCTAGAATTTTTGATATTTGGCACGTACTTATCCAAAGATCAATTCGACGGATTATGCAAAATCAAGAGTGAATCGAAATAATAATAAAAAAAAGACTAGAGAGCGAGAGAGACGAATATTATTTTTGTTTCGATGCCTATGATTCATTCACTGTCATCAACATAATCTACTTGCCGCGATTATTCGAGTGATGTCCTGCGGCGGCGGCGACGACGCGTTTCAATCGAATCCGCGAACCTTCCGATGATCTATGATATTTTATTCCTTGTTTTGTTTTGCTAGGCTCACTAGAATTTTTCTCATTTTTTTTATTTTCGGTCTGCTTTCGATGTATTTATATTTTTTCGTGCATCATTTTGCTCTATGAGCCCCGAAAATTGTTTATTGTGTGTGTGTGTGTGTTCACTATCCATTTCCCGAAAAAACGAGACGTCGTCGCCGTCTCTTTTTTTTTATAGCGTCCGCGATCTCTGAGCAAAAAATCTGATGATTGGTGCCTTTTGAGAATTTTTTTTCAACGCTTTTTTGTCGAGATCTCTGAAATTCGTGGTTCTCTTGACAATCGTTCAATTTCAGATAATTATGAGCCCACATCAAATAATAAATATTGACGATGAATCTGGAGCGAGTACGGCGTCGCAAAACGAGAATTGCTCGCCAACGTCACCATCGGATTCCCATAAGCCAAAAGTGAGTGAGTTTAGCGAGCCGCTAGAGTCTAGTTATTCGGCATAGACATTCGATATTTTCTGGAAGCGTGAAATTCGAAGTTTGATGGAAGAAAAACATCAAAAGATTGAAAATATTTTCGAAAAAAAAAGAAAGAATTTCCAATAATTTATATATTTAGTTTTTTTTTTAATTTGTCAAATTCGATGCTGAAAATGACAAAGTTTTTTTTCCGAGAAATTGCTGGTCGAAAAATTTTTGATTTCGGAGCATTTGGAATGGTCAATGATTTTTTGAGCCTTTCATCTCTCATTTTGGACCTCATTATTATGGAAATTACGAATGAGATCAAACACGTTTTTTTTGAGTAAATGTCCGGGTGAAATTTTGCAGGGATGAAACGAGTTGGTCTGATTAGTTTTGAATTCAAAAAAAAGAAAATCATCAACAAAAAAAAAGTCTCGGCGATTAATGTTCAATTTCGCACATCTCAAAATCCGATTTATTTTTGCATTTTTTTTTGTTTCGTTGCGGAAACATTTTGGAACCGCAAACAAATGATTCAGCGGAAATGAAATCGGATTTCGATGAAATCCGGTTAGCAACTACATCTGTACCATCTCCCATTTTCAGAGCCGAATTCTCTATTGTCGAAAATGCGAAGGCCACGGCGAGAAAGTGATTCTGAAGAACCATTCGCCCCAATGCCCTTATATTTTGTGCAATTGCAAATCGGTTCGCGATTCCAACCGACATTAAGAAATGATCATCTGATTCGATTTCAGTGCGAGAAGCTGAATTATAAACGACTGAAATCGTTCAACAAACGAAATAAGGACAAAATCGAGCTCGCCGCCGCGTTGAATGCCAAACGACACGCGACTAGCGAGACGATATCAAGTTTCGACGACGAGGACCAAGGTTCGTCGTCAACATTTTGAGTCGACCCATTCACATTTGATTATTTTCTTTCTCTCCTTTGCCTTTTCGTTTATTTTCGACACAAAATCAGAGGCCTCAAATTAATATCAATGGCCAAAAATCGGCGACAAACTTTATTAGTTCCAATGATTTAATCGCGAAATTTGTGCATATGTAATTGTTTGAGAGCAGACTAAATACACCAATTGGTTTCTGAGATTTTAATTTGAGGGCGTTAGTCAAAAAATTGATTGAGAATATCTCGATGGCAACTATCGTTTACGCCTTCAATTTTTTTTTGAAAATCGCCAGAAAATTGCGCATTACTTCGACGAATGCTGTCAACATTTTGCTCCGACCACGATCAAAAACCATTATTTCTGATGGTTGAGCTAGAATAAAATGTTGATAAGAGACGAAACATATGGGAATGATGCTTGATCGACCCCATTTTCTTGTTTTCTTTTTGTCCCCTAAACCCCCGCTCCAGTTGGCGCTCGACAAAGTCTGTCTGCGGCTGGCAATAAAGTGCAATATCGGTGCTTTAATACAAAGAACATGTATTTATATATAGGCCCAACAAAAACATCATCATTTTGCAAGCGAATGAACGTCGAGTTACGGTAGATCATTCGCCCCCCTCTCAACTATGCATTCCGTTTTTCAATTTGTTTTCATTTTTGCCCCCACACTCGTCCCAACTCAATTGGTAATCCACAAAATGTCGTAATCAGCTATTATTTTCGAATTGACGTAAACCCCCCCCCCCTTCTTTTTTTGACAACAAAGACCACCAAAAAGCAGCTTCCATCCTTCAGTTTTCGCCGAAGACATTTTGGATTTTCGATTGATATCGAGCGGTTTCTCATCAGAAATGATGACTTTTCGCAATGACCAATAATCGGATTGCAATTGATAATTTTGCTGGACAATGTAGCTGACTTGATCAATTATTTGGTGGTCGTTTGAAATGTCGGCAGATTCAAATTGCCATTGTTGTTTTCTGTGCTCATGCTGTTCGAATGATGGGTCTTCTCGTTTCATATGCCGATCACGTGAGCTCATCAACAACACCATTTGTTTATAAATTGAAAATGGAAGTACTCGTTTTGTCAGATTTTACGCAAATTTTAAAACCAACCAATTGTTGAATTTGATTTGAGAACCCCATCGTTGAGGTGGGTCTCACAACGACCGAATCCACTAGGCGACCTCGCTTGCGAATTTTTCCGAGAAATACCAAAATTGTTCATTGTTCGCGCCGCCAATTGCAATGTAAAAATAGAACTCCCACTAATTCCCATATTTTTTGTTATTTTTGTGGAGCCGCGTTCTCGTCCGCCGGCGTTTAATCCGAAACGACCAAGTGCATCTATCAAAAACCAGCGTCGGTTACTGTAGTTGTTGGGAGACGGCAAAAAGGGCACTGATCTGCTCGGACTCGAATGGGGTGAGGACGCGACGGCGAAATGCCCTTCGTGTTTTTCAGAAACGTCGCCTCCACCAACACTCAGCGACGCGCGCGCGCGACGGCTTGTTTTTAGTGCAACTTTTGTGTATTTGCGTGAGTGTGTGTGTGTATGGGCCTTCGATTTTTTTTCCTCTCCAAATGACGGACGGCTCTAAAAATTGCGCGCTATTCGATCGAGCGGTCTCGGTCGCCTCGGTCTGATATTCGTCCCACTCGCGATGACGACCGCCTTTTCAGCCGAGCCGAGCCATTTCGACGAGTGAAAGTACAAAACTCGTCGAGTCCCTCCCCTCTCGTTTTACTCCCCCCCCCATTCATTCCCACATCATCCCAGCCATCACCGCCGCCTCCGTCGGCAGTTTGAAAATTCTCCCGCCAATGCCCTAGTTTGTTCCGAATACGGTAGTTAAACTTTTTTTCGAGAAATGACGTCAATATATGAGACTCGAATTTCCCCCGCCGATATGCAATTCTTCTTAGTCTTCTCGAATCTCCTATTTTTTTGAGTAATTCCAATGCGAAAATGTTCAAAATCTGTAATTATCATGACTATTAGTCAGCCAAAATCGTTGTCTTCTCGAAATTTCTTTAAATCAAAAATCGCCGGAAGTTCGTAATTTTCTCAAACGTGTGAATAAAATAAAATCTAACTAGAAAAAAAAAATAGATTTCAAAATTTGTATTGGTTTCCCATATCAAAAAATTGTCGGTCTGATAACATTTGTATTAAAATGTTATATATATATATGTACATCACTCACTCGCAGTCGATTGAATAAGACTAGACTCTATTAGAGACGGCGCACACAATAATGAAATGTCTCATCGCGCTGATCATAACAAATTCGCGATTTGTTTGCTCTCGTGCCTACTCAAAAGTCTTTTTGAGCTCTTTCCCTCTCATTTTCTCTCCCTATATGGCTCATTATGATCTAGAATAGCGAGCAAACCATATTGTCAAATTACGCCAATTGTTTGCAGAATCGTCGCGTCGCTCATCATTCAGCTCGAAAACCTCGTCACCTGGCATGGATTCCGACAATAATGTAATCTTTTGATCTTTAAACTTGGAAGCGCGCTCGCGCCGGCGGAATTGGAGGAGGCGGTCTCGGGTTGCCACGGCTACCAGGCTGCCCTCATGCCGGAACAATCTAATTTTTCATCGGCGAGCCGCCGGCTCCCACCTTCTCGAATTGTTTCTTTTTGCCCACCATCATTCATTAATATAATTTCAGGCATCATCATCGTCGTCCGGCGGACTTGAAGGCCGAAGCATGTCACTTGGCGCGATGACCGTAATGTCGTACGACATCTGGAAGGCCAAATGTGCATCGGAAAAGAAGCGACTCGAAGAGGAGAAGGCGAAGAAGGAAGGAAGCACCGAGCCGAAGCGATCGCCGTCGCCGGTGCCGATTCGCAAACGCGCTCACACGTTCGTCGCTCAGCCGAGGGTAATTTTTTGATGTTATAATTTTTGATTTTGTCGCCGGCCAAAACTGGGCAGCTGAAATGAATAATGCCCAACACGTCATTAGAGATCTATGGTGGTGGTGTGGTTGGGAATGAAACGAGACTCTAGCCGAATCTCAATTAACTCATTTTCAGGTCAATCGCACTGAGGATATTCCGGTCGTCGCTTCGAAAAAGATGTCGGTTGATGAGAAGGGCAAAGGCAAATACATTCTTTTACCGACGATCCCCGCGATGCGCATTCTCGTCGATGCCGAAGAGGATAAGAAGCCGATCGAGCCAGTCGCCGCTTCAGTTTCGGTGGCGCCCGTCACCGCCACCACTCCAGTTGCGGCTCCGCCAGCCACCACAGCGCCGGTCAGCCGGCCATTCCAATTGCCGGCGAGTCTTCCGCGCCCGTCGCCGGTGGTGGCGAATCCCACCATTTCGCCACTGATGTCGCCATTCAAGCCGATTGCTCAGCAGCCGCCGACGCCAATAATCACGTCGGTACCGCAACCGAATCCGCTCGGAAACTTGTCCACTGAGCAGATCATCTCCTCATTGACCCTTCACAACACCATCCTTCAGCAACAACAGAACTCTCAAATGATGCAAGATTTGATAACGAGCCTCGCGTCCGGAGTTCAGCCATCAGTTGACGTCCTCTCGATGCTTCGCATTCAGCAACAGGCTGCCGCATTGACCGCGCAGCTTCAGGCCCAAGGAATCACGCTGCCAGCGTCGATTCCGAAGACACCGCTCTCGATTCCAGTCGCAACCAGCGCCAATCTGCTCTCATCATTCCTCCAGCCTCCAGTTTACTCGAACCCAGTGTAGATCAGGTCGTGTCCGATCGTTTTTGTGTATACCGCTAGTCATAACAGCCAACTCCCAAAATTCCGTTAGAAGCTTCCCACCGCTAATTCCATTTTTCGTGTGGTTTCGTTCCGTTTGTTTACTCGTTGTTAATTTATTTTCCAAACCGTTGGACAGAAATTCATCTCATCACATTTTTTTTTGGCTTTCCCCCTCAGGCATCATCACCAATTTTTCGTCTGAAATCATTCGCAATGCTGCAAATTTCGGTTTTGTGTTATACACAACTTATTAATGTAAATATGAAATCTCTCTCTCCCTCTCTCTCTCTCTCTCTCTCTCTCTCTCTCGCAGTCGGATCACATTTGTACAGATTTGTTTTTGTCTATTTTTTTCTCATGTTTTGAACATCAATAAAATATACATAATAAGAGGTGTTACGTGAATGTGAAAAGAAAATAGTATGGAATCGGATTAGTGAGGTTTCGACGATTATTCAGCTTCATCCAACTATAGAACTTCTCGAAATTCCATGAACTACTATTTGCGAAAAATTTTCGCGTTCTTGGAATATGTAGTTCTTCTTCTTTTTTTTTTGAAGATGCCATGTTCTTCAAAATACGTGACTCGTCTGAATAAAATTGTCGCAAAATATCGTTGAATGTTCCAAGAAAACGGTTGTGTTTTGCTCAAAATGGAGAGGCAGGCTTATCGATGACGTTTGGCGATCAATGAGCTCAAAATAATGAGCTTGCACGCAGGAGTTGAGACTTTTTCGAACGGGCAATGAACAACATTACTTTTTCGAAAACGATTGACAATCTTAATATGAAGGAAGAAAAATTGTCTGAAATCTTTCAAATTTCAAGGTGCCTAATTTTAGGGACATTAAAGGCGCACGAGGTTTCGACGATATCACGTAACGAAAAGGCCAGGGTTCAAAAATTTAGTGCTTCGACGTAGAAAATGAACACCATAAATCAATTGGCGTTTGGCCGAACCCCTCAAACCAATATTCGTCAGGAATGTGCGATACAGTTAAATATGTTATCGACGTTCGCCGGGCATGCGTCGTCTTTCGCTATGGTCTCGTCACATGAGAATTCCGATTTTGTTATTTCCACATTAAATTTTGATGCGTTGGACAATTTTCTTGAACTTTCATTGAAAAAAAAAAGAAGCAAAATGAAGCATTGCAAATAATCAGCTACTCCGCGCGAGACCATTGGGAATGGTGCATGCTCGTAAATCTACACCACCCATTTAGTCAGACTGAATAATCGACAATGAAACCCGATATTTCCCAGAAAAAAAACGATATAGAAAATTTTCGTCAAATTTTGTACTTTCTCACGAATTTCTTATGTATGATTTCACCTGTGGTTAATTGCATTTTATGAAGGTGGCGAATTGAATCCGACAAATATTGTCTAGTCTGATTTCTATTAGTCATAAAGAGCGAAACTCACAAACATCTTGCCCAAAACTTCCGATGATCGTTGATTCGTAAGCAGAGAGAGAGAGAGAGAGAGACAGAGAGAGAGAAACACGCGAGGGGCGATGCTGTTTTTTGAGCTTCTACCTCTGCTTTTCTCCACATAATTAGACATGTCTGAAACTAAATTGTTGTTTGCGCAGCTGAATTTTTTCCTTTGCCGATCGGAAGCTGATGAAAATTGGGGAAAAAATTATTGACGAAATTTTAAATATTGCGAAATTCTCATTCGAACCGGGGACATTCATTTCGAAATCAACGTTTTTTTTTGTTGCTTCAAAAACCAATTCTAATTCGGATTAGTGCGCGAATTTAAATCTTTTACGCATTAAACGACACGTTCGAAATCATCAGCTGAATGCTCGAAAACATCGGCTCAAAGTTCAAATTTCCCATTTTTTCTTTTTGGAAAATTTCATAGTGAAATGCGAATCGAAATATCGTGGTTCTTAAAATAGAATGGTTTAAATAAGAGATCGGTTCTTGAAAATGGCAGAATTCGTCGACATTTTCCCATGCTAATAAATTATTCAAATTTTGCCACTGTGGTATTTCAGCTTTTCAAAATATCTTGAACTTTTGGATATTGCTTGCAAACGTTTTGGAAGCAATTGAAAATTTCTAAAATAAGAAATTCGAAATATGAACATTTTTTGAGGGGTGATAAAATTTTTTTCAGAAAAAAAATCAAAGTTGCTTATTCGTTTGAAAATCATGCGCCTTTAAAATAGTCTCGAACCGAATCTTAAGTTTGACAGCGGTATTGGCTTCCAAATGTTACCGGGACGGAGGACTTGGCAAAGGCTTCCATTCTGGCGGCCGCCACCCGCCCGCGGTCGCGAATTGTTCTTCCATGACACAATTCACGTCCACCATTATTTCGAAATTATTTATTTATTATTTTTATGAGATTTCCGAGTATTTCGCCGATTTATTAGAAAAACGAATTAATTATATTTTTAAAAATAATTAAATGTTTGGATGAAATAAAAATGCGAAGAATATCGTTGCGGTTCGATGAATTTAAAGATTTTATATGTACGGCGAGCTATTTAATTGGTCGCCCAATCAATAAGCTCCTTCTACGCCATATTGAACTTTTGTTGTCGACCAATGAAAACAAATGAAAAATTATGATTTTTCATGTTATGTCCTTAAGAAATCGCAAATGTAATGATGTTTTTCCATTCGAGACCCAAAGCGGTAATTCAAACATTCAAACATCAAAAATAAAATAATATTTCTAATTTTATTAAAAAAAAAATGCGGGAGGACGGGTGGAAGACTGGGACAACAAGTTAGGCCATCTGCAAAACTTTAATTCACAATATCAAATTATACACTTTTCAAATGAAACAATCGGGCTCAAATCTCTGCACATGGTCTGGCCCGTATCTGGTGAGCACTAACATCCCAGGCCGACTCGACCATGTTCTGCCTACCCTAGTTGCCAACATTTGCCACGGTTGCGAAAATTCAAATGCAATGGTTTTTCGAAAATACGGGAAAAATTATTTCGTTTTATTGGATTAGAAAATGATGGAATTGTCGAATCTGCAAGGATTTTGATGAGAACAATGCTGGCTTCTTTATGCTCCAACTCCCCCCCCCCCTCTCATTTTGTACTGACAATTTTCTTATTCCAAATATAGCCTCAAATGCCACCATCTTAGATATTTGTTGTTCGCGCATTGTGCTCCCGTACGTTGTGCATTCATAAGCATATTGTTATATTTGCGCAACGAATTACACCGCAACGTTTGACACCGTATTTGACACCGTACGAGAGCGCGCATTTATTCAATTTCCCATTTCGAAGCATGCTCCGATATCTGCTACTATTCCATTTCGCGATTGCAGCGCCGCTCGCGAGTACCACAATTCCAAGCACGATTGCCACTCGAGTCATTCCTTTGGCAAACTCGATTGAAACCAAATTGCCGTTCCTCAGAGGTTTGCCAATTGCTAATAGTTTTTTGTTGTTGTTGCAAAATTCCAGAATTTCAGGTGTCGACGATTTGAATAAAGAGGAGTTCTTCGAGATTATTCGCGACGAGAAGCTGAGCAAAGCGGAAATTTGGAAGCACGTCGAAGAATGGTCGAAGAAGCAGCCAGAAGACGTCCAAATGAGCGTCATCGAATTCCATCAGAAGCTGTCGGAACACGTGGATAGTTCGAAAATGAGAGTTCAGAACATTGTGAGGAGTCTTCCGGAGGCGCTTCACCGATTGCGGCAAATTGTGGAAGACGTGGAAATCACACGACTTCAGGTGAGCATTCAAACTCAAATGAGCAATCAAGGGGGGGGGGTTTAATTCACTGCTCAAGTAGGTGATGTCATTCGTGATTTTTAACCTTCTTTTTTGAATAATTTTTTTTTGAATTTCGGAACGTCATTCATTTATTTTTTATTTTCAACAGCTATTTCAAACAAAGCATTTCTGAAACAGTGAACTCCAATTAATCATTTCGTTTGCAGGAGAAAAATCGAATAGCGAATCTTTATTCATCTCTCGAAGAAGATGTCTCGAAAACGCTTCAATTCATTGTTAATATGGTGTCATTTGAGAACAACGAAGGCAAAATAATAGAGCAGAAGCACAAAATTGCGCGGCTCAAGAAGGGCGGAATTTGGACAGGAAACTCGCATGCAACAACTATCTTTTAAATTTATCAATTCGATATATTTATTATAATTATTAAATTATTATTAAAACATAACAAAGACAAGTGAAATGAGAAGACACCGGCTTGAATCACTGATTAGAATTATCAATACAATTACTCAATTCCCTTTTTCGATTGAAGCTTGTTAAGCGGACCATTGGAGTAATGCTTCGACGCTTTATTCGTCCGTGTTGATCATTTTTCGGACATGGGCTCTCTGGGGATGTTTGAGCACTTAGAAGACGGGATTCTCTCTGAAAATTGTCAGCCATCAGAATCTTCTAAATCGCATTTACCTTGAATGCTTCTCGTCGAAAGTGCTCCTGCTTGGCGGTTTCAATTCGAACCCAATGCGGAACATCCGGAACCGCGATATCGATGATCATCTTGGAAGCGAGGATGATATGCTCAAGAACAACAATGATAAGAATTTGGCCGCCCCAACTCAAATCCGGCCAGATTCTCTGCACCAATCCCGATTGGCCGATTAGTGCGCAATTCACGATGACCCCGAGAATGCCGAGGACCTCCATCGCCTTCTGCCAGGCTCCGATATCCTTAACCCGTCGTCCGAATGGCCGTTGAACGGTATTACAAAGTTTGAAGGCGTCGACCCGGATTTCGATGAGATTGTTGATGAGAGCGCAGCCGGCTGCGAGAGGAAAAGCTGGCGAGAAGAGAAGAACGTATCCGAATTGAATGAACATCTCGAGGAAATCGTCGAGGGGTCTGGCGTAGACCGCCATGACACTCTCGAGTTCCGCCTGCGACAATTCCGGTGATGAGTCGTTGAGAGGCTTGAATTCCGGAAGAGGAAGCCGTTCGGTGGTCATTGTGAATTCCTCGCGGAAGATTGAGGATAGGGTTCTCTGAAGGCAGATTGATTTCTCGTGCTGGAAGGGGGGGGTCTTCAGACCAACCTGTTGCTGCTGCTCATCGCCTTTACGATTCCTCAATTCGACATTCTCTTCCGTCGGACTCTCCAAAGGACTTCCAAGCGTGAACATCTTCTGTGGCGTCTCCACACTATTTTGTCGTTTATTTCGAACATTCTCCACGTGGCGTCGAAGGGTCCCATCGCTCATACTACGTGTCATTCTACAACTTTCATAATTTCAGCATTTTACGCGGAATGCTTCTCACTTGTAGGTCAAACTGCTAAGCTTCAATTTCTCAAGGGTGAAAGGCACCACGATTTCCATAAAATTCTGAGTGAGTTGTCTTGTGATGAGCAATGTCGCAAGAGTCTGAATAGCGCAAATTCTCTCCAAAAATGGAAGCATTGCTGAAACGCAACCTCTTGAAGCCTCTTCATATCCCGTAAAATGAACGCAATATAGAATAATGAGCCAAACGCGGTGACAAATTGGAAAATGACAATTTTTGTAATAAGAAAGTCCTCATATTCATCGTCTGTTCGATAATTCTCCAAGTCGTTCAGAATAAGCGCAAGCTTTCGATACACCTTCTCGCTGATCACAATCATCAAGGCATAGACGATCATCGGAAGGTAGCATATCCAGCGGAACATGAACGATTCGGCGAAATAGCTGAAATTGAATTAATTCGACAAGCCAATTGAAGAGAGTCGTACAAATCAACGAAATCTTGAATCATGAATATGGCGAGCATTGCGAAGAACATTCCGACAATGCAAAGAATTGTGATCGGGTAGGTGATCACTGAAAACAATTAAACAATTAATTAATTGGGGGGGGGTCATTGAATACTAGAAGCATTTGCTTTAACAGAATTATCTATGGAATTACCATAGCGAATAATTGTGTGCTTCCAGGCGGGATAGAATGGCTCCATTCGTCCAGACACTGGATTCGGAGCAAGATAGTCTCCCTCGAATCCGGGCCTCGGATCTTGAAGATACGAATCTTGAGTGGCATCATAGGTGCCCCAACGGAATGCGAGTTCCGCCTGCACTCGCTTCCACCATTCGAGATAAATTGTCGACCAGATGCAGTTGAAAAACGCGAACAGTACGAAGCAAATGTCGGAGAGAAGCTGAATTTCGATGTCACGCCGAATCCCAACAATGATTCACCTGATACCAATCTTGTTTATCTTCTGGATTATTCTTGTACTTGAATCCTCCTAGAAACCACATCAATAGTCCGAGAAGAGTCGGGAACCATAGAGCAGTGGTGAGATGTCCGAGCCACGCGAAATACATGGCAATTTCGGTTCCAAAATAATCTTTGATTTCCTCAATCGGTTGCTCTTCTGAAACTCATTTCATGATTTCGCATTGAGGCTTCCGACGAAAAATACCGTAAGACAGAACCCATTTCTGTTTCAATTTGTTGAGCAATTCTAAATTATGCATGGCTGACACGCTTTCCACAACATTCGTCGATATTAGTCGAGGTACTGTAACAACAATTTCGATGGGCTAAGGAAAATCGAGGCGAGTACGTATGGCAACTCCTTCGGTGAATGTGATGGTCCTTGAAGGCAGCTTGAGTGATGCTCCTTCCTTGCCAACCCGCATCATGTCAATCATCTGTTTTACTAAACTATTGCAATTTTAAAGGCGCATTTGTGGGTGTGTGAGATCAACCTATCAATGTCCTTTCCGTTGGCGAGAAGAATGTGTGCTTATTCTCAATTCCGGCGAAGCATTGAGCATCTTCGAAGCAAAAATCTCGCATTCCGCCGCCGAATTTCGATTTTATCGATTTTTTGACATGACACAATTCGGCGCCTTTTAATAAACTGCAATTGTGTTCATTTTCGAGCAGAAAAAAAAATCCAGCGAATTGTACAAAAATGGAGCCGTCAAAAATTCTTCGAAAATCGCCAACAATTAATCACCTTTTATAATCAGCCGTCAAATAAATCGCATAGCAACCATTAAGTCTATGATAGCGTACTTCGAGCTGCAAATTCGGCTCGTGCTCGCGAATCTGCTGGACGAGCCATGTGACAGCCGCCTTGTTCTCAGCTTCCTCCGGCGACATTTTCATTGTGATGAGTAGATCACAATGTGTTGATGTTGAGGCATATCTAAATTTGAATAATCAATCATTCAAGATTGTGAAGTCAACCTCCACAAATCTGAGCTCAATGCGAATCGTTGTCCTTCGACAATTATTGATCCGAAAGTGGTCATGAGATCTGAAGTGTTCTCAATTGTAGGCCAAATTTGGAAACGAAAACAAATAAAGGTTATTTCGAAAATTTTCAATTTGGCTAGAAATTGAAAAAAAATTCGAATTGCTCTCATAATTGGCCAATTCGGTTAATGCAAAATAAATTCAGGATTTTTAAAACTCAAAATTTAAACTGACATAACTCAGCTGAAAATAAGAATAATTAATCGAAACAACAATAAGAATCAATGCATTTCAGCTAAACGAGGTTTGAATGAAACTCGCTTCACTAGAAAATTTATTCGAATAAAATAAGCATTAAATACAAAAACAGAAAATCCTGAATTTATTTTGTACAGACCTAATAAATGACCTGAAAATTCTCTATGAACCTCTTTTTTTTCAATTTCAAATTTTAAGCAAAAAATTTGGAAAAAGACCGCCTCCTTTGAGAAAATAAAAAATGCGAAAATTCGCATAAAAAATTGACAGAAACACGAGAAAACGGAAATTTTCGAGTTTTCAAAAAATGTGGTGTCGAATTTTTTTTTAAATACATTTTAATGTGTTTTATGTCGGAAAAATTAGTGAAACGTCGTCGAACAAACAAAAATCAATAGGCTGCTCATAAGGCGACGACGGAAATGGAGAGGCGCCCTTTTTCTCCGAATTTCCATCATTATTCTTTATGGCACTCTTCGCCCATTATTTTTCGGATGATTCTCGTCAAATTGAAATCGAGAAAAACAAGACGAGGCGACGAGGAGAACAAAAACGAACCGACACCGAATCAGGCAGAGGCAACAATTAAGAGCATTCGCCGGGGCAGATGGCTGAATGCCAATTTGACGAGATGACGGAGACGCAGACACAAAAGCGCGCAGTGAAATCCACGGAATTCGTGTCCTTATATGGTGCATGATTAGACAATTACAGACACATTTTTGTTTGTATTCAACTGCACACAGTTCTCATTTATTAAATTTGTCTCAATTTTCACAATGGGATTTGAGAAGGATTTAATCAATTCGGATCGGTGTGTTGTCATGGAAATGAGCAAGGCGTTCGAATAGATCACACAATGAGAAAGAAGATTAGTGAGGTAGTAGGTTGCTCGCAGGAAATATCTATCTTCCATGATGTATTTTTTTTAATTCTTGAGATTTTGATAAATAAATTTGATAAATTTGGAAAAAATTTGCACTTTCTAATTTCTAATATAACGCGTAAAAAGCCCATAAAATGTTCAATTGTTTTTTGGTCAGACAATCGTGGAAATTTGCAAGTTTTTTTTCACATAAAAACTGAGATCGGTCAGAGCAAAGTAGGTGAATTTTATCGTGCAATGTACACATGTTTTGAACGAAAGTTTTGTTTGAATAATTTCTTTTTCGCTATTTTTTTTTAATTGCAACATCTTAAAACGCTTACAATTATCGTCGAGAATTGCATCGCAGCGAAAATGAAAAACACATGTTGTTTTCTTGGCACAAAATAATCATACGACAAAATTCGGCTCCGGAATCGACCAGAATGCAAAATTACAGTCGGCGTCTTATTTACAGATTATCCGCAGAACGGAATTCGCACTGTGTAAATCGAAATTTGAAATATTGCCTTAGAAAAAATACGATGATCCACAATTGTTCAAAGTTCCCTTTTTGCGATGATAATACAGGGTGTCATTTAAGTTCCCGCACAACTTTGAAGACGTATATTTCTGAAACTAAAAGTCCAAATCAAACGAGACTCAAAATATTATTTATCTATAGTACAACAAATAATTATCTATTAACTCTTTTCGATTCGGCCTCCTTTCGCAGCTATGACTTCACGGAGACGCTTCGGGTAGGATGTGACTGTGGTACGCAGGTATTCGATGGAAAGATTGTCCCACTCCGCCAGTAATGTCTTCTTCAGAGTCTCTACACTTGAGTGGGGTTTTGCGTTGACCTTCTCCTGCAAGACCCTATCACGGAAAAGTCAAGCGGTTTCAGATCTGTGGAGCAATCAGGCCATTCGGATGACTTGATGAAGTCGGGAAAATGGGTCTGGCACCACTCCTGAGTAGTTTTGGCAGTGTGGGCGGGTGCTCCGTCCCGCTGAAAGACCCATATCTGCCCACCGAAATGCGTTTGGGTCCAGGGCATCACATGCTTCTCCAAAATGTCCCGAACGTAGACTTCTTTGTTCATTTTCACTCCCTGATCCACGAAATCCTGGGGGCACATCCCGGTTGAGCAGATGGCACCGAAAACCATCACACTGGCAGGATGTGAGGCTCGATTAATTGTTTTTCCTTTCTCAGAAGCTTGCTGGGATGTCTGGGCAAGTACTCAATGGTTTTGTGAGTAGAATGCCGTCTCCACAGTGAATAGCTTCTCGTCGGAGAAGACAGTGACGAGATCTTGTCCAGACCGCGTGCGAGCAAGAAGTCGTTTTGCTTTTTCGAAGCGTCTCTGCTTGTTGACGGCCGATAGAATTGCCGCTTTTTGGACACGATATGGGGTCAGTACAAGCTTCGTTTTGACGATTTGTTCCAAAGCGAAGATGCTCATTCCCATGTCTGACGCTATCTTTCTCATGCTCCTGTGGGGGTTTCGGCTGATCCTCGATTTGACGGCGTTGATCTTCTGAGGAGTGGTTACTGAGACGAGTCTTCCTTGTCTGGGACGGTCACTGGTCGTATTTAGCTCCTTGAATCGTTTGATGGTGTCATAAACCGTTCTACAAGGCACACCGACCCGTTGAATGATGTCTCTCAGGCTCACATTTTGCTTATGAAGTTCGATAATGGAAGCGCAATGGATATTAGCCTTCGCCATTTCTCGGAAACACATCCGAATGAGGTGAAACTTGGAAAGTAAGTAAAATATACCTTGTTCAATAAAAATAAATTGTATTGGTGTACGAAAAGTGCGTTAGCGAAGCTCTACATGGCGTCAAACTTTTGTGCGGGAACTTAAATGACACCCTGTATAGTCGGCAACGGGCGACTGCTGTACGCGGGTAGATTTACGGAGATGCGTCTTTCTCTTGGTCTCGCGCGGACTCACTGGTTATTTTGCATTTTATTAGTCGGTTCGATAATTTTTCAATCCAATGACGTTGGAAATTTTGAGGAAATGCCAAAATCATCAAGAAATTAACCGTTCGCGTGAAAAACAACTCTGGTAACTCAAAACCAATCGGATCCGACAAAATTCGACTCCGGAATCAACCTTGTTCGATTGGAAATTCTACGGATTAGATTGGAAAATTGTCGGATCCGATTGGGTTTTTGGGTATTTTCGAATACGATTGGTAATTATTCGAATTCGTTTTGTTTTAATATTTCAATTCGAATCGGATTCCACAAATTGCCAATCTTATCCGTAGAATTACCAGTCGGATAAGATTGATTCCGGAGCCGAATTTTGTCGGATCCGCTTGATTTTGAGTTATCAGAGAATGAAATTAGCGATCGCATGGCGAGACCATTTCAAAAGACGCACTCGTAAATCTACCCACGTATATATAATGAAAAACGGGGAAGCGACCAACTGTATTATCATATCCGGCCTAAACGTTTGAAATGCTCAATATGGTCTCCTCTGGTAAATGATTCCTACGAAAAAAAACAGCAGTTCTTCGTGAAAGAAAAAGAAAAAATTAAAATCGTATACGTTAATGCGAATCGTATAGGATCGAATACGATTCTGATGAATGGTTTGTAATCGTATCAGCGTATACGATTCAGATTTCGTCGCATACGACTCGGAATCATTTACCATTGGCTACATATCAAACGCATGCAAAACTACGGTATAAATCAAAGGGCATGCGATAATTGGTTAATTTGCGCCAAGAGCTAAAACTAAATGTGGCCTAAATTCTGTGAATCTCCGACAATATTTGATTCTAAAAATCGAAAAATATTAAAAGTAGGATTTTCAAAAACGAATTTCTAAATTTCCAGATTTGTAACCAAACGAGACTACGAAATTTTGATTGAGGGTGCTTCCCAGGCGATTATTTTAGCATTGCAGTCAATTGAAAATTAAATCTAGGCATTTTTCCTTAATAAGACAGAGTTCATCATGTTCCACTTTCCACGTGGCATATTTTTAGAGGAATCTGTCAAAATTGACAGCAAGATATCACATTTCAAAGAAAAATGAGACACAATTAATGAAGGAGTTGCTCGTTTCCGTTTTCAAATCTTTCACTTACTGACCAGATAGTTCAAAAACACTCGAATATACTCAACTCACCTTCAGTTTTTCTGCATTTGTTCGTCTCGAGCTCGTCGTCATTCGGCTCATTGAGAAAATCGAAATTCAGACCGAACAATACCGGCGAATTGTAGCCTGAAAATGACGCGGACCGCTGTCGGCGAAGCATTTGCCCCAGAGTCGAACAATTTTCAACTTTACACTCGCGTTTCGTTTTTGATATTTATGTTTTTCCTCCGTTTTCATCGGCAGCGGAAGAAGATGAATCGAAAAGAGAAAAAGAAGAAGGAGAAGGAGAAGTTTGATGAAAAAAATGGTGAGTATTTCTGTGTATATATTTGAGGAAAGGCAACAATATACAATATAGATTTAAAAAAAAAAGAAAACAAAAATCGCAGAAAAAATCGACAAAAATTTTAAAGACATAAAGCTGAAATGGATAGAATCCTTTGATTCATCATTAATAATTATAAAAATATGTTCATAGTGAAGTCTCTAAATCACAACTATTGAATTGGAAGAAGATGGATCGGATCGGATCGGATCAAATTAATAAGGCAATTTTGAATTATTGTGTAAATTAAGATTCGCCTGTGGCCGAATTAAACAACAACACTATCAAACGGATCGGACTATTTGACAGTTTCCTGAAACTTTTAAAAATAAAATATGTGAAAGTTTTGAGAAAACTGATTTACCATGAACGTTCACTGATAAACTATTTCCGTCGGGACGTGTTGGAGGTTCTTCGATTGTGTTTAATATAGAAATTTCTATCTGAAAAAAAAAATTAGCTTTTAACACTTTCTGACATTTTCATGCGATTTCAGAATTCAATACAAAAACTAACATTAGATTTTTATTTAAAGAAAATTTGGGCAATTTATTAAAGAATCGGGTAATGCAACCACTCAAAAATATACAAAAATTTGAGTTTTTCAGAAAATGTGTTCAATCTATGAACGAGAACATTACACATTTTCTTGATCATTCGAAAATATTGGTTATATCTTCTATCAAATAGTCCTCATATTGTCGTCGTCATGCGACTGCGGAAAAATGCGAAAAAAATATGGTAGAGGTTTTTTTCTTTTCTTTCTATTTAAATGTTTTGGTCATGAGTACTTAAATTGCACTTTTATGCTTTTGATAATGATTCATACTAAGTGATAAGAACTGTTTAAAATAATATTTGAAATTAATTGATATATCGTTGGAAAATTGAACTTACAACTCTAAGTCCCCGTTCCATAGGGTTCATAATATGCAACCCGGCTTTGTGATATATTTCAGAGTTTTCTCGTTTCAAAAACTCCTGAAGTACATAAAAATTTTGCATTTTTATAACTAAAATGAATTATCACCTTTAATTCGATTAGTTTTTTATCAAATATCGATGTTGATACAAGCCTTGAACAATAACAAGTAACGCATCCAAGGACTGTTTCGAATATCGTTCGTGCATTTATCTAAAAAAATAAGAACATTTTACTTAGCAAATGCGCAATTTGTTAAAATACCGCCTCTGCATCTTCAAATATTTTATTTATCCTATGAATCGTGTTTTCCCAAACATCTCGAGGTATCTGAAGAAAATCATGATACAATTTTTATAATATTTTTTCAGAATTGCCAATTTCGCGGCCGAGCTGAAAACTGGTCGGCCATCATTTTAAAAACACCTTCATAAACGTTGGTTTTTATTTGTGAAAATTATTTTTTAAAAAGTCCACCCCATATATAATCCGCCTAATATGTACAACTTTTAAATAAAAAAAAAGAAAACGCACCATTCCTGTGAATCTTGGCGGAAACTCAGTCTCAAACCGAACATCGAGCCCTTTTGAATAATCGCGTTGAATAAAAACTCTTCGGCATTGATTCAGAAATAGAATTTGCGTTTCCGGGTTTCCATCGCTTCCATTTCGTACCAGCACCGATGGCTGTTTTGTGGTTGGCATTTAATCAAATATTTTCTTGTGCTACTTTCTATCGAAATTCCACCAAAATTTTTCAATTTTTTCCTGCAATTAAAACATACTAAAATATATAAAATGATGGAAACGGATATGAAAAAAAATGAACCGGAAAAAACGATTCTTCGCCGTAATAAAATTGGTGCAAATATGCAGTGTGGTGTTTGCGTACGCGTGACACATTTTGCGCACCGTAACTTTAAAAACGGTTATTATACATTTTTAATGATCGCTATTTGATTCTACATTTTTTTTTAATTTTTATTGTCATTTTTCTATCAATTTAATTTCAATTTTGATAGTTTTATGCACTATTTTGAAACAATTTTAACGTAGTAATCCCTAACCAACTTTAAACGATTTTGAAAAGCTTAAAAAGCTGAAAGACGCAGGATGTAATGCACATAACCAATTTCGAGAACTTCCTATTCCCATCCCGTCCATCAATAATATTACCGCCGCCCATGTCTTCCGCCGCACATTCTTACAAGCGACCCAAAGCGGTGTCCATGGCAACGGAGAACGCCTCGCCCACCCATTCGCCACAATCTTTGTCCACGAATACAATCAAATGCATGGCTCACATATTGATAAATGGCTGTCGAAATCATTCCTCAAAAACCTTCTACTAGCCGATTTTGAAGATTCGAAAGCCACATTGGTGCAAATTGCCAGATTCTGCGCCGCCTATTATTTAGACTACGTTCTGTTTTTGCCGCGAAATGAAGAAGAACTCCCTTCTCTCTATTTATGGGGATGCTACGAAGAAAAAGGTAAGCGTTTTTCAATAAAAAGTTTTTCAATTCTAATAAATTGACAATGTATACAAGTTGGCAATATGTCAATTATGAAGTATGTGTAACATTTTGAATGTAATAAAAATCTTAATTAGAAGCCAAACGCGCCGCACACATAGAATGACGAATTTGCGGATTAACAAGACCGGATAAACTAAATAATTGAATTGCAGATATTGCCGGCAAATGGCAACTGATTGATAGGAATGAAGTCAGTCAGAAATTGCCGGCGGATTTCTCACCGGCTCTTCCGGTTCTCATTCTTGTCAGATGCGATCACCTTATTGAGGCGATTTCCTATGCGGATCATTTCGATGACAGAAGATCCGCATTAGTTTTACGATTATTAGCAGATTCACAGCATAGGTATGATTCAAATTTAATAACAAAAATTACAAAATAAATATTATTCGTCATACATTTTGTAAAAATCAACTTTTCTCATTAGAAAATTAATTAGAAACAAAATTATTATATTTAAAAAAATGAGTTTCGAAAAGTTTAGTCGAATTCTTTGTTTTTTCAGCACTAGTCTTTGCATAGAGTATATCAAATCGACATTATGTGAAAACGTGGAGATTGAAGTGGATCAAATCCTCAGTAATAACGGATCAACAAAGCAGAAATTCGCCGAGAAATTTTCTCAATCGATTCTGGAACTTGACGTTGTTCTACAACACGATCTTCTTGATTTTTACGAGAATTGGCTCATGCAAATGGCCGAGTTTGAATTCTCAAAGCTGCCTCTGGAATCGGCAGTATTTCATGAAAGCAATCCGATTTATAAGGATACTGATTATAAGAACAAATGTGAGGAAATGGTGGCATACGCAAAAATTCATGTATACTGCTATTTGTTGTTATTTTCGTTGAAGAATTCAAATCGAATAACGCAACAATTGAATTTCGCATTGAATGTAGTTTCAAATGAAAAGGTATTTTTTAATTTGATTTTTCAAAGTCAAAATGTGATTTCAGGCGACACCACGAACTTGCCCAACATCCACACTTCATCGTGTATTACTTCTTTCACTTCGCACTATTTACAGGCAAAAATTTAGTGAAGCATTAAAAATCAAAAATGTAAAATTTCAATTGTAATGTCTTCATGATTGTTTTTTTTAGCCATGTCTTTCATCGATTGCTAACCGATATAAATGCCTACTTGACGAAGAAAATGGAGAGTGTGCTATGCTCGAAAAGTAAAATATTTTCTAGACAACTTTTTTTTAATTAAGAAATGCGTTTTAGATGGTCACAAGAGGCAAACGATGATGAATTGAGAACGATTGAAGAGTTTTTTGAATTTGTTCAGGAGAATTTCAAGCAGGTAGTGCAATTTTTACGGTTTCAATTTTTTTTTTAATAAGAAGATTCGACTGAACTGCGGAATTTGATTCGTTTTGTAGAAGACTTAAGAAATTAGAGGAGTTGTTGCATAAGATTAACCTCATGAAATATTATTAAAATTTTTAGAATATTTCAGAATTCTTAATAAGTTATTGTAATTTTACAATATTTTAGATCGTTCGCCCTAATTATCTAATACAAGTGCGTTAAAAACTACTGTAGAAGCAAAAATATGTTGATTTAACAAATAATTAACAAAAACTTCGCTAACAAAGAATTTTTGGTAAGATTAACAATTGTTAACTCGCTTTCCAATTTAAATGTATCAAGTTCAGCCGTCGTAATAAACACTAAAACTTTCTTAAAAACTAATTTTCAAAAAAAATGTGTCGGACTTGCCCACCAGATTACGGTACATCCGCTCATGTTTTTAAAATTTTGGTATTTACGTGAATCAGTTTGCCTAATCACCAGCTTGATTGAATTTATGGTCATTCAATCAAATTGCATTAATTCTAGTCATCCTCACTTCCGCCATTGAGCAATACAACTCGCGAATTCTGGCTTCGTCGGATCGTTTTCAATAATGCTGATGATTATCGCGATATTCGCCAGGAGAAGAGTATTGACTGGCTGCGATCTGTATGCCTACCAAAGCAACGGGTTTGATTTTTTCTTTAATTTCCATTTTTTACTATTTCCAGTTATAGGTCAGTGATACAACAATTTCTCAAATGCTTTTCATCAACTCGCAATGGACTCCATTCGGATTCTCTTTCCTCGCTCCTGGATGTCATGCGATTCGTTTATCGATCCATCCGCATGATGTGTGTTTAGGTGGATCGGTCAACACGGATTACACATTGTCGGCGAGGGATGTTCTTTATAAACCGAATTATTTCAACGATGACGCTGCCGAAGAGGTGAAATTGTTCACACCGCGAGAAGATTTGATCACCAAATACGCCAAACGATATGATGCATTGAAATCGATGACAGTTCGAGAGCCTCCAAGACTATTCAAATCGTTTGGAGATAAACTCAAGGAGTTCTCGAAACAGCAGCAGGAATTGTCAGATGAGCTCGAAAGGGAGCGGCAATTCTTGATGGAGAGCCGAATGTCTTCAACTTCCTCAATAATGAGTAAAATGAGTAAACCGAAAGAGAATATTGACACTGGAATCGCGAAGCAAATTGAAATGCTCAATCAGAAGCTCGACAATGTTGTGAAAAAGTTTGAAATGAAGAGTAGTTACATTCGGGAGGACGATGAAGTGGACTCTGTCATCGACGATCTTCCGTATGATTATGAGCATGCTCCCGTCGCTGAGTCAACTGCGATTGATTCGATTGGCAAACTTGATCTTGGCCAATTGTCTGAAAGGATTGATGTGACTTCGCTGATAAAGCCGATTCCGAAATCAAAAATTGAAGAAGATCTTTCGACAGCCCAATCGATGGAGAATCCGATGTTCTCCAAGCCGACACCGCCCATTCCATTCGAATGGATGAAGCTTCTTCCGTTAGAGCAATCAAGTGCAAGATTCGCCGACAATTTTCTCATTTATGACGGGCGAACTCCGCGAGTTCAGTCGCAGCTCACGGTACGCCGAGCGATGACAGATCGGCAGTGTCAAACGGAAGAGGAGAAGAAGAAAGTGCTGATGGCCGAGATTCAGACTGACAGCGGATTTTTGGAGGAGTCGAAGAAAATGGCGATGGAGGTGAATCGGATGAGCAAGGACGAGATCGAAGAGGCCCTCAAGCGCATCAATTCCTCATAATTCGCATTTGTCCATGTTTTCTCAAAATAATAAATTGTAATTTGCACAGTTTTCTCAGTAAAATTTCAGGGACACTATTTTGAAACTATTTTTCTTGAAGATTAAACTTACATGTGGGAAAAAATCATTTATCGAAATTCACAAGAATATTGTCGTGTTTGAAATATGATTTAGAACTGCAATTTGAAACAGTAATATCGATAATGTTTTCAGAATGCCGAAAGGCGGCAAATCGTCGCTAACGCCGGTTTGGGCAGGCGTTCGCGAAGATCTTTACGCATTTCTTCGAATATTTCTAGTCCATAAACCAATAGTGTAAGGGAAAAGCTTGAAGAAATTGATTTTGTTTTTGAAATTTCAGATACTCGCATTTTAAAGCATTATTCCAAGCGCATGGAATGCCGACGATATTCAACGGACGGCATGATGGCGCAGAATGCATTGAGGTATATACTTTATATGATAAAATTCAAAAAGAAATATCGTGTTTTTAGTTTCACGAGGAATTATTGAAAATTAGTCAATCTTTTATGAATCCATTTATTTCCAAATTTACTCAAAGAAGTTTTTTAGTAAGTTCCCTTTATTTCTGAAACGAAATTCAAATTTCCAATTTTTTAGGAGCAACTTTACGGATTGTATATTACCTACACTTTTTACTACCTACAAAGCGCCAACTATGTCGTAAAAGTAAAAAAAAAGTAGATATTTCACGTTTTTAAGAAACTCTTTTTAGATTCGCATGGATCCCGATGGAATTCAAAGTTTTTTAAAATTGTCGCAAAAATTGAAAAATTCTGGCCATTTTGATGCTTATGCGTGTACGATGAAACTAATCCATGACGAAGCAATCAAAGTCGTAGCCTTTGTGCAAATTGTAAGAATACACTTAATTAAAAAATCAATGTCTTAAACATTTTTCTTTAGCATGATCCATCTTATAAGAAAACCTACGATGTTGATAACAGCTTTGATGATATTTTAACGGTTACCAACGTAAATGAACCATTTTCGAGTATTTCTCGGATTTTGGAATCGGACAATGCAAACGCTGCGAAAATGCTCTATCGAGTTTATAACGAGGTCTGCATTTTAGTCTGTTTTTCTGAAATTTGTATTTTTTTTAGCATAAACGGCTTTATTTGAGCAATAAGGATTTGATGGCATTTTTATCCAAAGATCCAATAAAAGAAATCGAAGAGACAATAGCGACAAAGACGAAAAACTTCTTCTTGGCCAGCCATCGTCAGAATGTTGATAAATTGGTTTTTTTTCAGCTCATAGTTTTGTCTGGAGTTTTAATAAGTTGTTTCAGAAGGTCAAGATCCCTTCAGCTGAATCTGAATTATCGAATATTGGCCATCGTCGGACGAGCATCAAAGAGCGCACGTATGGAGCGAAATTGACATTCGCGCAGAATCAACGACATCGCAAAAACGGATTGCAGAATGCCCACGAGCAGGTTTCCTTTGAGTTTGCGGATCTACCTCCAGTGGAACGCGAGGTGGAAATAACTGAAGCGTCCGATACTTACGCGAACGAGGCAGTCGTGGATGACGAACCTATGGAATTGGTCATCGAAGATGAGCTACCAGTGGAAAATGAAGTTATTAAAAAAGGAGAGATTACCCTTGATAATAAGAATAGTCCATCTTCGAATGTGAAACTTGAAAATGATCAGGTTTAGTTTTTTCTGCAATATTTTTCACTTCTTACATGCATTTTTGAATAAAAAGAAAGATCTACGGCCGAAAAATTGCTCCTCAAATTGGAAATATTTATTGGCTAACTATTTTGACATTATTTGTTTGTTAATTTTGATTAATTTGTATTTTAGATGCCGTCGGACGGTAAGAAGCGGTCTTATCGTACGCATAATCAAATGAAATGCAACCCGAAAACGTTAACGGAACGTCCTGAAACGAAACCAAAAAGGAAACGAGAATCGAAACCAAAAAAAGAGGAATCATTAATAATGGCAAAAAGAAAGACAATTGTGAGTCGTCAAAATTATTAAATTAAAAATTACTAATTGAAGAGTTGCTTTTTTGTATTCGGAACGACAGGGAACCCTGGAATAACCGTTTGAACACCTATACTGATAACCTTTATAAACCGCCATATTCAGTTTACGCTTACGAATTTATCCACTTGCGAAAACGAACACAACTGTGGTTATTGAATTTATTGTTCCACTTGTCTATGGGTCCCCTATGTTATTTTTCCAAATATGTTAATCAACTTCTGTGTCCCCGAAAAGCTTACTATCGGTTTTTTTTCAAGTGTGGTAGGCATCGTGGAGTAGAAAGGCTTTCATCCTGGATATTTTACACGATTTTTGAGAATGTTGTTTTCAGAGCAACATGACATTCTATTCCATGGCACCTCTGTATTGTTCTGATTTTCAGAACTCGTTAATGGCTTCTGTATTCGAAGAATCGTTGCGAATGGCTAATGAACTGAAGAGATCTCAAAGTGTTGATAATAATAATAAAGATTCAAATGGCATTTTGAAAGACGAGAAAGAGATGGCGAAAAAACAACGCGAGGCAAAGAAAAGCGTCTCGTTTAACGATTTGGCTGAAGATAAATTTATTCCACTGGAATTTGATGTGAATAGTATGCGATTATAAATAATATTAAAGCTATTTTGTAATTTTAGTTCATGACGAGTTCAGCGAAAAGAAAGAGAATGATGAAGATGAGATAGGCGTAATGGAAATTGATGGTATGTGAGTTAATTTTCAAAAAAAACTGAAAAAGTTTTGAATTAGCAATGAAGTATTTGAAAAAAATTGAAGGCAGCAAGATAGAAAAAAATAAAACTTTTTTTTTCTGCATTAAAATTTTATTTTATTTTTTTTTTAATTTTGATTGAATTTCGAATTTATATCTTGTAACCTCAAATTATGTAAACAAAATTATTTTCTATGTAACCAGCAAATTTTATCTTGTTTATCACTGATCTCTTTGCTTATTTCAATGTTCCATTGTTTTAGTGAATTCAGATATTTCAGAATCTGACGAATTTGAGAACAGGTTCGATGTGTTTGATAATATTGAAAAACGCAGCAATGCGGTTTCCAATGACGGTTGGTTCGATGCGTTTAAGAAATTTCCTTTTTCTAAATACATTTTTTAGAATCTTCGAAAATGCCAGTAATTGATAATGAAGGTGATTTTGAAAAATGCAGAATTATGCAAACAACTAAATTTCTTTAGTCACATCTAATGCAGGACGAAATGAAGAGAATGAGGTGTTCAAAGAAAATGATGAAGATCAATCAACTTGTATGTATCTTATTCACATTTTTAATGTTATCTTAAAACGTCTTCAGCTTTATCAATTTCTCTAGTGGAAGAAATTTCAAGCAAACATCCATCGAATCAGTCTGCAGATTGTATGGCTTTCACGTCCAACATGTCTAGCATTCGTAATATGACTGAAAACGAAAATGACATTGAGCCGAATCTCGAAATATGTGATGGTGAGATGGTCGATGATTGCGCCAGCTCCGACAATATCGAGTAATGTCTCCCACCCGTTCTGGTCTATCATGTTTTAATTTGTGTTGTTTTATAATGTAGAATGAACCATCTGTATATTAAAAGAACATTGAGAATAACATAATTGAAGCGGTTAGGAAGAATGAGACAAATGAAGAAGCTGAAATTATCGATGTTTTTTTGTTTTTTAATTTCTATTAGATTAACTTACAGTTTTGTCTTAGTTTTTGTGCGTCACTGAGCCATTGCGCAAGATGGTCATGGATCCGGATACGAGCATCCTTGAGCGATTGTGGATCGGAATCTCTTGCTGGATACATATCGGCGCAGTGCGCAGTGCCATCAATCAGCCACGAGTCGACATCGTTATTCTTGTCAGACGACTTGTGGCCTAGATCCTGCCACGGATCAAACGATCCGTTCGGGAAGCACACCTTTGAGCCATTGTAATTATCAGCTCCGCCGTATTTTCGGCGAACGGCATCGACGAGTTTGAATGTGTTGTCCAAAGTGTATTCGGGACCGAACAAGTCAATGCATTGATCAGCGAAAAAGCTGAAAATGGCTATTTTGAAAAAAATGATTTTTAAAAATAATAACTCTAATGGGACAGTAGAACCGAAAATGCCGTGATTTCCACCATCTGTCGTTTGATAATATCCGAGTTCAGTGCAAGTTTGCCAGATCCATGAACGAGTGCTAACTGGAAAAAATTGTTGCTTTAATATGCGCGAAAAATTCTCACTTACTGACATCGTCGTTGGGCATTGTGGTATCGGAATAATATTCAATGAATTTTGTATAATTGTTTCCGCGACATTTGGGTTCACCGTAGAATGAATCGTACCAATCCATCTGAAACGTTTTAAGAATCATTGTGCAAATACCTTATTTACATAAATTTTATGATAAATGAATGCATGTTTCACCAAATTTGATAAAATATTATAATGAATCGTTTGCTTAATTTCTTACCACTGCAACCACTCGATCAACTTCATCCTTGATTGTCGAATTATTGAGAATATTACAAGCTCCAGGCACGCCAAGACCAGATCGGGTTGCATTGTTCTGAAATATTGGACTCATAAAAATAAAATGAGCTGAAATTTCTACCCTGTTATCGCCAGTATATTGATTAATCCCTTGGAAATATCCATAAACATTCTGGAAGAAAAATTGAAGAGATTTCGATAAGTGGTCTTCATCAAAATCATCGCAAAGACTATAAATTATTATCAGTCTTCTCTTTCTTTTTCTACATCCAAATGAAATACTTGAATTGATTTTTGAGCAATTTCCGAGCGTCGACCCCATTATAAGCTTGCTTGACCATTTTGTTGAAAGCGGTTCCGATTGTGTTGGCGCACGAATCGCTGACAGTTCGATACGTCTTCTCCGTATTAATCGCATAACCATAATAATCGACGAAGACGTGAACCGCCGATGACGACGAAACGGCGCCGGCGGTGAGTTCCGGATATGTTTCTCTGAACCAGGCCGACAAAGAACCAGGATACGATCCGCCAAATGTCACCCAAATCGGTTTATCATTCGGGAAATAAAGCTTATTCATTTCCAAAACGAAATTTCGAAGATCGGCGAGAGCTTGATCAATCGTCAAATATTTGAGATTCTCAGGAGTTTGGTCGCTTTAAATCGAAACAAAAAAGATGGATTTTTGCTCTTTTCAAACATCTTACCCATTTGGCGAATAGTCTTTGCTTCCATAAAAGCGATGTTCGACTTGGAAAGCGGCCGCTTGAAACTCGGCCGCCCATTTCATCATCGTTTCGGCTTCGTGTCGTACCCATTTATCACCGTTTGTCACATTTATCGAACCCTCGCCGCCAATCATAAGGAATACATAGCCAACACTGCTGTTATAGAATTTCGAATTGTATTGATATCTCTGAACACGAAATTTTAATATTTCGAATTTCGAGAACTCAATCAAATGTTTCGAATTCTAATTTGCTCATTTTTTTGTGGTCGAGAATCTAACCTGCTTCCAAGTATTTCCACCATCGCTAAAATGATCGACGGGTTGAACAATCTCCGAATATATCATGTATTTGTCCTCAGTGGTTGGCCCTTCTGCAGGATCACCTGCCTAATTTTCCCCATTTTTTTTGGTTCTTTTTGTCATTATCCTTACCAGTAGGCCTTCTCTGGGCCTACCATTGACAAAATGCGGGAATCTGAAGCTGATTACTATGCCTGATGCAATACTAGCGAATATTATGAATCGCAACATTTCAACCAAAAAATGAGTTGAAATATGGACAATGAGCCATGTTTCTGATAAGCTGCCCTGTTTGGGTGTGATAAGAGCGTATTGAACTAAAGACCGAAAAACCTCTTCATCAAATATCGAATATTGCGCATGGCAAACCGGTGGAAAAATATGAGAGCTTTGAAAGCTACTAAAAAGCGCGATTGGAACAAAGAAATATTTAAGAAAAAAAAAACAAGGAAACCCATTGATGACTAGAAATGAGATCTATAAATTAAGAAAAATACAAAGGGAAAATGGAAACATGGACCAAATTACGAAGAAATCGTTTGCGACTGTAATGCTGCTATGGTGGCGTCTTTCTCAGCGAGTTGACGACGTAGTTGCTCGTTTTCACGTCGTAATCGTATAATTTCTTCCTCCCAGCTGTCAATTCCAAGTTCCTGAAAATTAAAATATATAAATGCAAATATGTACTCTCCAATGAATTTTTTTTGGATTTTGTTCGTACGGTTATGCTGTGAAATTTCCATTCAATTTGATACATAGAATTTTGGAGACAGAGATATATAGAATTTTTTTTAATTGGGTTAATTTTCATTCTATTCGTTAGTGCAAAAATTGAAAAAAAAATTGAAAAAACGTTAAAGTATTCTCCATATTATTTTACACACCATCTGGAATTTGTCTGTTTCAGATAATAACGATTAATAAAAACTTTGAAATTTCAATTTTTTTCCAAAATATATAAAATTTTGTGGCGATTTGTAGTGAGTTTGAAAATATATTTGTTAAAAATCTCTCAAATAACCATCTGAAGTAGAAAGAAGAATACTCATTCACTTTTCGAATCTCATTACATAAAAATGAATTACCACCAAAGACAAAGACAGTTTTTCAATTATAGTTTAAGTAAATTGTAAAGGAGAAACGTTATTGATTCGAGAAAAACGAACTCACGTTGACAATTTTGTTGAGATTTTGGAGTTGTGTTTTAACATCGGCGATATCCGATAATCCAACATCGATTTGTCTCGTGTAATTTTGACAGCTAGAAATGACGAATTTAATTATAGAATCTCAAAAACTAAATGAAAAACATACTGGTTTATGTTGCTATTCTGTCGATCCCGATTGTTCGCACTTCTTCTGAAAAATTGAGAATGTTAATTAATGTTTGATATTCGTTTGTATCAGTTGGTATAAGAATCTTAATAAAACACATAAGATTAACCCATGAAACTCGTATTTTGCGGTTTCAACTAACAAAAAGATTCTTTTTTTTTAATGTTTATTTTGTGAACCACACCCATCATCTGCCGTGAGATATTGGCAATAAAATGTTAATGACATGGGAAACTTGAAGTATTAAAATTAAGTTTCTTATTAATTGAGACAATCCTAGAAGCAATAATCCCTTGAAAAAAACAACTAAAAATGGGAATTAGTTGATTACCTATGCAGAAAAGAAGCAAGAAACGGTGAGATGAAGCAGTCAATCATTAATAAAGCGCGTGTACTGACTGAAGCGAACCTCAGCCTCAAGCGACCGGTGTTGATTCTCGCATTTTTCCGCCTCGCGCTTTCATTTTTCGCCCTCTCGCTTATTCCGCACACTCTCGCCAAACCGCGAATGACCAACAATGGTCGCGTTCTCCACTACAACTGTGATCCATATGTATTTGTTCCCGCAATTTTGTGAAACATGCAAAACTACACTTATATGTATTTATGTGTATCGAAATCGAATGTCTTTGAGGAAAAAGGGCGCGCGCGCACTCAGCACTCATACGAAAAGAAATTGAGAATATACCGAGCAACAGAAATCAGGCAAATTTTCACCCACATTGTGGTTTGCCTATGGAATCATACGGAATTTTTAAAAAAATATTTCGTTAAAAAGTATTTCTTAACCTTGAAAACTGTTCGATATTGTAGAAAATTCTAAAATAAGTACAGAAAACACAAAAAATATTTTCAAATATTGAAAAATAGACTTACGAATCATGTGTGAGCGAACGATCAATTGACATAATGCTCTCATTCATTTTCTGATGAATCGAAAGGCAATCAATGGAAGACGAATGAGAGAAGCTGTCTCCAACGAGCATCGGCTGGTCACTAAAATGCGCGCATTGAGTTTCGCCAAGATTAGAAACGCGATACTCACAGAATGTCGTCGTCGATGAGTCCGGTGTCGTGCTGCTGCTGCTGCTTCTGAAGTTGAATATGATGGACGTGTTCTGCAACAAAACAAAACATTTGCGACGGCGACAAAGAAAATAGGATGAGCGAGAAGAGATGGAGATGGAGATGACCGACTGGGCAGCTCTCTTCCTCTCCCTTCGTTGCGCGCAATGTAATTGGATTGCACATTCACAATAATGAACCACACATGCACATCTTTGAAGTTTTCTAAAGCTTACGCGGTGATTGAAGGCTATTCGCGTTGGCGTCGACGCCGCTTCCGACAACCGTTGTCTCTTCAGGAATCGTCTCTGAGAAGCGTTTCTCGGGCCTCGGACTCTTCGTGCTCCATTTCTCGTAGGTGATCGGCAAGTTTTCAACGAGTGGCGAATTCGCGACCACTGAAGATTCGCCTTCGGCAAGTGGTGCTCGTCTGCATAATTATTCTGTTATTTCCCATCATAAACACTCAATGAATTTTAGATTTGAATGATGAATGAGTGGGGGACAAATGAAGAGTAATGAATTTCGAATAACCGAGAAATTGTGAAGAAAGTAAAATGCATTATAATGCAAAAAATTGCAATAAATTTACAATCTCATTGAAAAACAAGATTTTTGTTTCATTTATATCCAAAATCTTCGCGGAAAATAGAACAAACAGATTTAGAATGCAAAAAAAATACATTAAAAATCCAAAACTAACGCCACAAATTTAAAGGAACATTATACATTTTGTTAAAATCGTGGTGAGACCAGTATTTTTTTTAACGCGTGTCTTTTTTATTATTTCAATTTTAAAATATTCTCAGGCAAATCAAATAAAATATTTTGAGAATCAAATATTCAGTGATAAACTCTAAAATATTTTGAGAAATTCTAAAGTCTATTGATACTTTCTAAAACTTATTGAGAATCAATAAATTTTAAAAATTTGGAATTTGTAAATTAAATCTTTTGAGAAAGTTAAATCTTTTGAGAAAGTATAAAGTATCTCAATATATTGTGAGACTTTAAAATTTGAATAGGGCCCTTATGACTTCCACTGACGCAATTTGCGGCGTCTCTTTTTAAGATCTTCTAAATTCCAATCAATAATTTATGTTTTTGATGTTCCTTCCGTTTTTTTAGCTTTTTGTAATAGTTTCTTCACTTCAGTGATGGACGTATTCATGAAATGCAAGTTTTTATAATAAATGTTTAACACTACCTTAAATCTGCATTGTTTTACATGCTGAATTTGAAACAGTTGTGTCTAAACATGTCATTGCATGAACAGGTTCATGAATTTTAAAAATACGCACAATTATTACAATTAATTACAATTATACTTCAGTTTCTAATGATTTCGATATTTTAGAAGATCGGGAAAAGTGTGGAACAAACATTCCAGAAACATTGGCCGATAGATTTAAGGAACGAGGTAAATACGGCAAATTCAATGAGCTGGTGCCCATGTGGATCACAGCCATGGATATTTTCATAGTATTTTGAGAAAGTTAGACTCATTCAGTTATTTTTTAAAACTGGCAATTTTCAGCTATAAACTATATCACGAGATTGTGACTTCATTGAAAATGCGTTTCAACGCGAATCCGAATTTAATTAAGAAGTCATTTTATCGCAAAGAACTCATGAAATTAATCGAAAAACGACAAATTCAATCATCAAAATTTGTAAGTTCAACATTTTCTTTCAATATATGCAACGAATTCCTTATAGCAACGTTGTGCGTCATTCGCAGAAAAAGGAGAAAATGCGAAAAGAATAAATTGATTCATTTATTTTTTTCTGATTTTTATTATTAATATATTCATTTCGCATTAATATTGTAATAAATGAAATGTTCATACATATTCAATTATTATGGATGTTATTACATTCTATTTGTGTGAAAATTGCTCGATAACGTATGATATTACATAATATTGGACAGAGTTTATTGAGAACAATCTAAAATTTATTGATATATTCTAAAGTTTATTGAGACAAATCTAAAACTTATTGATAAACTTTAAAGTCTCACAATATTCATTGAAACTTATTGATAAATTCTAAAATCTTATGAGATTTCCTAAAGTTTATTGAGACAAATCTAAAATATTATAGAGACACGTTAGCCTCTCAACGAACCTCATAAGATTTTAGAATTGTCTCAAAATATTTTTTTCCATTTGCCTGAGTTTTTTATTGACGGAATTTGCCACTTTGATGTGTCGTTGATTTATTGTTTGAAACGTCGAATTTGGTATCATATGGAAAACTCTTTTTGAAACAATTTTTATTGGCAAATGTTCATTTAGCCACGATTATTTACTTTACTCGTAATTAATTGGTCGTTGTTTGATATTCTTTTGCTCGTATTTTTTTTAATACTTGTGATTATTTAGTACATCATTATTTGCTTCTAATGTTTTACTAATGGTTTAGAAAAGAATAATTAAAAATTAGTGCTGACCATTTATAGGATATTTGTAGACTTGAAAGTAAATTAAATTAACTTGTAGTTAAAAAAAAATGAAAACTTTGAATGAAAAACAGGTTTCTCTAAACATTTCATTTTGAAGTTACTGGATTCCGCAGTAGTCCACATGTCTTCTATGACAAGAGGTCCATGGTGATAGAAGTAGTCATCGTTATACAAAAGTTGCAAAGAAAAGTGTTTATAGACCAATACTTTTACTGCCAATTTTTCCTCCCCTCCAAGTTTTCTTAGTAAACAATTAGATGTAAAAATTTAAGTGCAAAAATATTAAAATAAAAAATACTATAAAAAGAATATAAAATCACGAGTAACTTTTCGCGACCAATTAATTACGAGTATATTAAATAATCACGAATAAACATTGACCATTTTTACGTTTTTTTTAAATTATAACTTGAATTTAAACTGTGGGAAAATGCTCGATATTTTGCGGATTCTTTTTTTATTTAATTTTGGAAAGTTGGAATTCAGAAGTACGTTTTTTAAGGGTCAATGCATTAAAACTAAGAAAGAGAAAATTTCAATGCGGAAAAAAGAAAACATCGTTTTTGTCTTACATATTGTCTCGACTCCGCCCCTCATTGCGGTCAATATCAGTTCAACAAGTAATTTGACTCACCTATCAATTTTCTCCGAGATGTGCTCTCTTCCAGTCGTCGTTGTTTTCAGATACACCTTCTTTTTCGATGCCTAAATTTTCAAATTCGATTGACAATCTGGGAAAAGCGAAGGGAAATACCTTGCGATCCTTGCGCAAAAACGACGGTGTCAACATTTTGCCGGCGTTGCGAAGCGACCTGAGAATGCTGAATATCAAGACTAAAACATGACGACAATATCGGGAAAAATGAAACATCGATAGACAAGAAGCGGCATAAGGTAAAAGACGAACAAGAAGAAGAAGAAGAACACAATGACGACGACAAACAACTCACTTGGAGGCAATCTGCGATTTGTGCGACGACTCTTTTTTGCCAGATTTCTTGTGTTCGTCGGGCTGCAAAAATTGAATTGAGCAAATAGGGTGCGTTTTCATTATCGGGCACGGAAGACTGCGAAATTTGATTGGTTCTCTGATCATTTCTTCCTGATAAACAAAAATTGTTCTCGATTTTCGAAAATGGCTAAAAAGGTTCATAAAATCGCTCCAATAATTTTTTTTTCCATATTGTTGCCGATGTGTTAATAAAAAAAGTCACGCGAATAATGAAAATGCACGTTTTTTCAATATATTTCTGTCACGATTTCCATTTTCTTTTTTTTCGTTCCAACTGTTCACCTTCAACTCAACGATATGCATTGGATCAATCACCGGAATTGCTCTCATAATCGGTAGCTGCGTTGGCTTCGCTCTCGACGTTGACTCTGCCGACGACGTCGACGTCGATTTCGTCATCGTGAACGGGAATTGCTCTTTCGGCGGCGTCGGCGGTGTGAACACAGGTGCGGCTCTTTGCTGCGGCACCTCATCTTTGATCGAAACATCTCGAATCGACGACGTGAGTCCTTCAGGCTCTTCTTCAATTGGCGACGCCATCAATCCCTCAATTTTCCGTGATATCACGTGCACCTCGTCGGTCGTTGGCGTCAAATTCGTGTCCATCGGGATTTCCTCTTCCGGCGAGGTCAAATCGCCAGACATTGTTGATTTCTGCTCTTCGAGCTGCTCGGCGTTGTCCGATTGGCTTCTGTCGAGGTTCAAATTTCGCGGCGGCTCCATTGGCTTGCGCTCGTCATTTGGTGTCGTCGACCTTCGACCACCCATCACGAACAGTTTTCGCGGTTCCGGTGAGAGCTCTTTTCTCGAATGCGGACTAAACGATGCTCGATCTTCCTCTTGCGGTGGACTTCTCCTCTTCGCTAGTGGAGTGGTGGCAGTGATCGAATAGAAGTCAGATGTCTTCACCGGCGACGTCGTCTTCTCATCATCAAACGATTTCTCTTTTCGATATGCTGCTGCGATAGATTCGAGATTCGTGTTTTCAGGAGCCTCGACCTTTAATCCATCTTTGTTTATTGCTCAAAATCTAAACAAATACCTCAGCCTTGGTGTCGACAATTGAGAATGTTTGATACTTCCTCATCATTATCGGAGTTGTCGTAGAAAGAACATACTTCTGCGTTGATTGTGGTTTCCGCTCATCAAGAGATTTCTGAAAGCACAATAATGAAACGAAATGAAAAGAGTGTTGGCTTACTTGTCGTTTTTCTTTTCTCTCCGATCCCCTCTCTCGACTTCTTCCACGGAATAGCTCGAATTGCAGACGCCTCAAATAGCTGTGCTTCTTCGAATCAGTCGATTCGCTTCTCTCGATCTTCTTGTTCTTCTTGGTCGTCATTGTGACGGCATCGGCACTCGTCGACGTCGCGACCTTCTTCTCGTCTTTCGGCTCAACAACGAATGTCTGGTATTTGCGGAGTGTAATCGGCGTCGTTGTGGTGAGAATGAATTTCTTCTCCGGTGGTTTGTCGTAGTTCTCCCACTCTTTGCGCTTCGCCTCTTTCGCCTCCTCTTTTCGTTTTCTCTCGGCAGGCGGACCAACAGTAGCAATCGGCTCGGTGATCTCGCCCTCTTCTATATAAGGATAGTCGGGCGATTTGGGACGATCGCCAACAGTGAATGTGTGATGTCGTCGAAGCGCTTCTGGAGTCTTCATGATCATCACAAATTTTGTCGGATTCTCCTGATCGCGAATCTCGTCAACTTTCGCGGATTCTGATCGTTTGATCTTCTTTTCAGCCTTCTTCGTCACCTCTTCTTCTTGAACTTCAGTGTGCACAATTGGTTCTGGAACCGCCTCCTTCTCGCCAATAACCAACGTCTTATGCTTCCTGAGCGCTTCTGGCGTCTTGACGGTGAGAATAAATCGCTCCGGCGAAACGAATTTCTCGGGCTCCGACTTTTGTTTAACGAGCTTCTTCGCCTTTTTGCTGACGTGCACGTCGGAATGCGATTTGGCGATGCGCGATTTGCGTTCCTCCTCGATTTGTTCCGGCGATTTGTCGCGAATCGTGAACGTATGATGCCGTCGCAACGCTTCCGGCGTTTTCACTTTCAGTATGAATTTTTCCGGCGGCGTCGGCTCCTCATAGACTTCCTCTTTGACTTTGATTTCCTTGACTTTCACCGTCTTCATCGTCACACACTGAATCTCTTGATCCGCTGGTCTCTCCTCGATTATCAATGTTTTATGTTTCCGAAGCGCTTCTGGAGTCTTCACAGTCAACACAAATCGGTCAGGAGACGTGACTCGTCTCGTCGGACCAGGGGTCTTTGGATTTGCGTTCGCATCAAACATGACCACCGTCTCCTTCGCCTAAACATCAAATCGGCATTCGGAAATGATTCAAGAGCACCTACCGCTTGTTCAACAACTTCAACATTCACTGGCTCATCCACTTTCACGCTAACATCTTCGAAAATTGGAGGGTCCGGACTCACAGATCGTTTCTGCCTAAAAATGGCGTATTTTTAGGATTTAAGGATCATTTTTTGCGTTACCCTGGATATTTCTCATCAAACTCTTTCGTAACGACGAGAACATCTTCTTCAAGTTTGACACAAACGTGCTCCATTGGTTTCGATGGAGCGAGCTCGCTTTTATGAATCAGGCCCGTCTCGGAGACCTCTTCAATCTTGTCGTCGATCAATGGAGTCGGATCTTGCGGAATTGAAACCTAAAACCCATTAATGAATCAATTGCTTCAAAATGCTGAACTCGTCTTAACAACCTTTGATGTCGACGGCTGCGACACATCCATAGACGACGATTTGATGACGCGATTCGCGTTCTGATCGATTCGCTTCGGAATCGTCTTCGGTTGTCGAACACTGCAAAAAAAAGCGGCAATAAAAAGAAGACGGCGAAAAAAAAATAGAGCACAGCTCGTGGAGCTCGAAAAAAAAAGCGCGGTCGAACAATAATGCATGGGCTTATTTATGTCATAAAGCGGACGTATATATCATTTCGCGTGTGTAGTCGTGGAGCGGTGAGCTTAGGGAGAGATGCAAAAAGTTCGTCTTTTCTTTTTCGCCGAGCCGTTTATGGCTTGCGACCAACGAAAACAAAACAAAAAATGTTTTGTGTCGAAGGAGCTGCGGTAATTGGTTGGCCTTGAATCAAACCTTTTGTGGAACGGCGAACTACACCAACTATATAGTCAATTTTGAGCGAAATATTTTTGTTCAAATGGAAACCATGCTTTTCGGTTCGTTTCCTATGCGATTCTTGAAATGCTCTAATACTCACAAATTCCTTTTTTTTACCGAAATACTGAAAATTTCTTAAAAATAAAAAAAAGCAGTTTGACAATTTTTGCAAATATTAGAATGATAGCCCAAATCGGGAATTAAATTCACTAAATATCACGAACTGTTATAGTCGGCGTCCGGCGACTGCTGTACGTGGGTAGATTTACGCGCATGCGCCTTGAAAAGGTCTCGCCACGAAATAACCTGTTAGTCCGTGTGAGACCATTTCGAAAGACGCGTTCTCGTAAATCTACCCGCGTACAGCAGTCGCCGGACGCCGACTACAACAGTTCGTGATATTTAAAATGAATTTAATTCCCGATTTGGGCTATCATTCTAATATTTGCAAAAATTGTCAAACTGCTTTTTTTATTTTTAAGAAATTTTCAGTATTTCGGTTAATCGTTTAATTTAATTTTTTTGGAAGTCAATATCATTCTAGAATACGAACCCGGAGAAGCTCTGGCTTGTCTTAATCGCCGACGACGATGATTCGGAAGAGTTTCGTCCGAGATGCGTGATTTTGCTGAATTTGCTCTTGACGCTGTGCGCGACACTCATCAGCGGGCTCCGCGGCGCCGACGACATTTTCTTCTTCTCAATTTTCAGCGATTTTGCGACAATTGAACAATTCGAATTGATCTGAAATTTTTCGGGTAATTTCGAGACGAGAAAAAATCAAACTGATTCTCTCTCTCAAGAAAAAAAAGTCGAAAATCGGAAGCGTCACCGTCAACCCATTATTAATCCTTGTGTTGTTGGAATGAAACGAACGAATGACAAATTTCCCCCCACAAAAGTAGGGGGGGATTTTGAAGAGAGCTGGTTGTTGGTTTCAGAAAAAAAAGAAAGGGGAAGAACAATAAGAAAACGGAACATTTGAAAAATTCGGTTTCGCAAACAAAATTTATGATGCAAAGTTTCAAGATTTTGAAAAATGAGCCAATTTCTCAAATGTTGAAGCATTTCTAAAAATAGAGATTTACGAGTATGTAAAAATACATAATGTTGAAATTTTGAAACAGAATGTCAAGAAAAGAATTCTGTTTCAAAACGGATTCTGGAGCTTATCATCAAAAAATATATTAATTGAATTCGAGTAAAAAAAGATTTTCAATTTTTTGTATTTGAGTGAATCAAAAATATTCGCAGAATACTTTATACAATCAAATATGTACCTTTAAAAATGTTCTTTTATGAATCTACAAGCATCTGCTCAAACAATACCTCATTTCTATATAATTTTGAGAAATTTAAGATATTTAGAGTAAAATTTTAAAATTCCTAATTAAAAAATTATTATTACATTAGTCAAAAATTTAAAGGCGCATCCCTTAAGAAACATAGAGTTTTGAGGATAGTTGAACTTGAATAACTTCTACCATATCCGGGAATATTGGCGAAGGTGGTTGCTCTAATAAAGATTAGCATACAAATAAGGGAATATGTATGCATGAATTCCGTTTAAGGTCAAATTACAAGCTTCCGTCAACAAAATCAAAAAAAAACCTCGACGAATTTTGTTGGCAATACAAAAAAAAACAAAGAATAAAAAGGGAATATCTGTGTGAGATGTTTGGTCTCGAAATGAGATATAGTATTATCAAATCGCCGCCCGGGGGGTACTGTAGAATGCAATTATGCGGAGAGCCAAACATGGGAATATGAGTGCGGCGGCGAGATCGACAAAACGTGTCGCGCCCAGAAGACAAGAAGTGAGACAAACATAAAATTGAATGGTCCCTGAGGAGATGTCGGGAATCGCGCACGGCGACACGAGAATCCCCCCGTCCTACAACGTCCAATTTGACAAATGCTTCAGGGTTGGACACCGCTTCTCGCAATATGTATGAATATTCGGCCGATTCTTGGTTGTTGGGCTCCTTCTTTTTTTTCTTGATTTGCCGAACAAATAAACAACGAATAGGAGCGAATTCTTAATTTATTTGGTGATGATTTATTCAAAGATGGATGCGCACATTTGATTGATTCGAAAGTGCTTTTAGGAATGGATGAAAAAAAAAGAAAAAGCGAGTTATGAGAAACAATCGAAATGGGTATGATTATTTCATAAAAGAAAAAATTCAGCTTTTAAAATCACTTTTGGTAGTTTTGTTTTTAAGAAAAGTCTAATTTATTTCAATAGCATTTGAAATAAATTTTGGGAATTTTCAAAAATAGCTATGCATCGGAAATGAGATTTTTTTAATGGAATACTGATATGATAGCAAACACGGTTATTATTATTATTATTATTATCACTACATATTATGAAGATTGATAATTGTTTGCATAATGCATAATAAAATTTTTCAAAACATCACCTATGAGCGAAAATTTTTTTTCTTGTTTGAGATCATTACTAACTTGTAAGGGAATTTTTCGTTCTAGGTATTAAGTGTAGAAATTTGCTGAAAAAAACTGGAACTGACTGCATAACAGAAAATTTTTTTCAAGATAATTTTTTTTAGTTGTGATCAATGGAAGGAATTGGAGATTGCCAAAAAAGCGTTAGTCAAAGTGAAAAACAATTTTTTTACATCTGAAATTTTTTATCAAAAATGTTGTAATTTTCTGAATTTTTTTTTCTCGATAAGGAATTTCACCAAAAAATTCTTCGTGAAAAAATTTGTGCAAAAAGTGCAACAAAGAGATAGAATTCAAAACGGTGACTGAAAACACCAATTTTTGAATCTGCCAGAAATTTTTCATATGTCTTCAAAATTTTGAAAGAGAAAAACCACCGCCAGAACACATTCAAAAATGTATTTTTCTACACAACTTGTCAATTTTTTGTATGGTGACAAATACAAATTCCTTCGAAAACCGACTAGAACAACGAAATGATCAGAGAGCCGCAAAGAATTGCTTATTTGGCGAATTAGTCGAAACGGCGACAAGTGCGTCGCCAATTAATCATCATGCCATGTCGCATGCCGAAGATGGATGGAAGCAATGCTCATCATCATCATCATCATCATCACGAGCGACAATAAAGCGTACGAATCGAAACAAAAAAAAACATACATTGGAATTGGCGTCAAGACGCAACAACGAGTCGACGGCACTTCGATTCTCGATGACCAAATCGTTGGCCTCCTCCTCCTCCTCCTTGGCTTGCTCTTTTTGCTGCAAAAAATTGTTGAAATAATGGAACAGCGAGAATGAGAGAAAGCGACGAAAAATGTTGTGCTGAATAAATTCGATCACTCGAAAATTGTCCTCCCCATCAAGCAAGCCTATAATTTCCGAGAAGACGTCGATAATTTCCTGTCGAACACGTCAATGTTCAAAAAAAAAATCTCGACTTTCTCTCTTTCTTTTTTTTTTGAAAACAAAAAATGAATCAAACCTTTTCAGAGATTCTCGATGCATGGCTCATTATCGATTCATTGCTCTTGCTCTCCGGAATCGGAGGACATGCGCGATTCAGTGGCGGCCTTCGTCGAGCTCCCTGAAACACGCAATATCTTCAGAATAGTAGCATGATGTCATCTCAAAACTCGTCCTACCTTAAGCCAATTGAAAACCATTATGCACCTAACGCCTCTCCGCTTACTACGTATTTATCAAATTTTTATACGAAGGTTGTCTGGGCAACGAGTCGCAAAAGAAGAATTGATAGAGGGAGAGAGAGAGAGAACGAAAATAAACAAAAAAATTCCTATGCCGTTTATTACTTTCTTTGGTGTGTGCGTGTATGATTGACAACGGAACAATGCGGCCTAGATTATTTCTTTTTATGCGATGGGAAAAAAAATGACGATTCAGCGATTTAATGGTGTTTCGAATCACAGTCTTCGAATTATGCACATTTTATTGGGCATCTCTCGAGAAAAAAAAACAACTCATTTTTCAAAATCATTCGTCGAAATAATGTTTCCTTTGATGTAAAAAATACCAAATTTCCAAATATCTAACTAAATTCGAAATACTTATTTGGATTCCAATTCCACAAAGATATGCTTGCTTTAAACTCATTTTCAAAACGATATCATTCGAATCACGAGAAATTCGAATTGTTATCATAGACAAAAAAATGGCACATATGCTCAGAAATTAAGCGCTTCAGCTAGAAAATGCCTTCTGAAAGTTTTTTTTTTCCGTGCGAGACCTAAGGCGGCAATTCAAATGGTAATCCACGGTAGTTGTAATTTTACCAACATACCACAAAAACTTTGGTCGGCTGTGGCGGTGGAGGTGGTCTTGTTGACGGAATGACCATAAGAGTTGTGTGAGTCCGAGGATACGGATACGATCCAGTTGACGAGGATCGAATGACGGACTTGTTCCTAAAGATTAAATAATTGAATGTCTTAATTACTATCGCCAAACTGATAGCCGACTTCTTATCACTTACCGTTCCTCTGGGGGAATAATGCTCATCGGGGGGCAACCGAAAAGAAGAAAATTTCTGAGTGAAAAGAGAGACGAAACAGAAATGAACAATAAAGTGCAGGGATTTAACTGAATCCTTCAGTTTCCTTTTGATTTTGCCTTTTTCGAGTTGAAAAAAAAAATACTCGGCCCACCACAAAACGATTATTCGTTTTGACGAATGGCAGATGTACGACGAAACACAAAAAAATATAAAAAAACGAAAAGACGAAGTTTCCTAAGCGTCGTCGCTCGAAATATAAAGACTATATGAATATTTCTCTTCTTTTCTCTTTTATATACATCATGCTAATATTGTGCACATTATTGAGAGGGCATAATTCACATTATCCGACGGGAAATGAGTTTTGCAGGAATATTTAACACATTGAAATTATTTTGACCCAAATTTTTTATTCAAATTATAAAATTTTAAAGTGTCGAAGTTAAAGAATTATTAAATAGCTTCAACATCTCTGATGCTTTTTTCGGAACAAAAAATTGGATAACTACAACTTTCAATAAAATTGCTTTGAATTCCTGCACAATTTTGGGTCCATCAATTTTCGAGCATGCGCCTTTAAATATGGTCTCGCTCAGATTTGTTCTTCACTAATTTCATCTGAATGTAGTAGTAAATAAATAAATAAATAAATGCAATACGTCAGATGGTCCCCTCGAGACCTTAATTAAAGGCACATTGCTAAATATCAAAAAATAATCCAAAAAAATACTTGAAAATGAATTTGACTCATTTCACATTGAATTCTCTTGAAATAATTTGACATTCATTAAAAACTAAATGAGCAATCGCTGGGTTTTTAAAGAAAATCTTGTATTTTTGTTCTCCCGTGTCAAATTTTTTGAGCCAATTTGAACATTCGATAGGAGGCATTGATTAAAATAGTACAAAATTGATTTTGATAAGAGCTTCTTCTTGTCTTAAACGAATGCCACGTGACATACCGCCCACAAAACAAATCTCACCTTTTCCATGGGAATAGCACGAGTGCTGTCAATGTGTCGATCATAGTTGGAATAGAAGATTCGAAAAATAATGGCAATAATAGCAACAAAAAAGAAAAGAATGGTCCGAATCAAAAAATGCGCATTTTTCTGTTATTTTTTTTTGGGCAAGTGTCGATATGTATGCGCTCAGTCGCCGACGACGAGCTCACCAGAAACCCGATATTCGGCTACAACAAATAGCCATCGATGCTCGTTGAAAGCCGCTCTGAAACAATGCGAGGGGCCAATTTCGGTGTTAACACGGAAGCCGAGAAAAATGAGCAGAAGAATGTTCGTGTTGTTCGGTTGGGGGAGGGGAAGCAAATAGGAAAAGGTGAGGAACGAGAAGATCATAAAATATTCCACACGGATGAATGTGCGTTTGTGGGTGCCAATGCCAATGTATGTGTGAAGCTCTCCCGCCAACCACTCTTTTCACACCTTTTACTACTTGGCGCACACAAGATTTATGCAATTCATGTCTGCTTTCATTTCGCTTCTATTCTTCTTCAAATTTCCATTCGATGGTCCCAAAACAGAAAAGAGCTAATTTAGAAATATTGAAGAGCAGAGAATTCAAAAAAAATATACAAGGGTTTGGTAGATTTATGCGCACGCGTCTATAAGAATGTAGGTTTTCAGCAACACAAAAATATCATCTTTAAATGCTGCTCATAGAGAAATGATGTGATGTGCACCTTTAAATTAGGTCCTAAGCGGATCCTGCCACACTGAAGAAAAATTCTAAAAGACTATTCGAGAGGGTAACACTAAATGTGTAAAATAAGTTAAAGTATTATGAAGTTAAAGGCGCTCGTTCTCATTTTTTGAATTTAGCCAATTATAAGCTTCAAAGATCTTGATATGGTTAAAAAATAGCCGTATTCCATAAACTCGTCCCATAATTTTAATTTGTGTATCTTTAGCGAAAAAAAACCCTCATTTATGAATGATGTTCGTCCCAAAAATATGTAGTATCCATTCATTTCGTCTCATAAATCATTTCATCGTTTCTCTCGGCCACTCTCTCGAATCGCCTCGCTCATTTCGCGGCAAAAACCATCCAATTATGAAATTCAAGCCACCGAAATTAGCATATCTCGTGTCTCGGATGAGCGAGCAAAACGAGCTTCAAGCACCCAATTAGCGCGCATTCACCCACTCTCGCTGGAAACTGTGAAAGCTGGCGAATAAAAAAGATGAAGCTCATGACGATGATGACGATGAAATGGAGAACATGAATGCAACCAGTCAAAGAAGAAAAAAAAAGACGAGAATGAATAGCGGCGGTCTATGGGCAATTTTGTTTGAATTATGCAAGAGCTTGGCATTGATTTTGCGACATTCTCATTTTTCAGCTGTCTTGTCATCATTTTTTTCCCGTTTTGATTAGCGACTATTATAGATTTTAAATTTTTGAATTAATTTTTTCATATTTCTCTGTCATTTTTAATGTAATTTAGGGATTCGCTGCTGCTTGAATAATTACGGGCATAATTTTTTTTTAATGAACATTTTTTTAGTAATTATTAATTCAAATAAAACAATTTCAGCATTTTGTTTTAATTTCAGATTTTTTGGTTAGTTCATTTTTATAATCTTTAAACAATACATATACGATAAAAATTTAGTTTTTCACAAAAGATTTTCACGAGTCATTCAGATGTCGCGAATTCACGGGACAAGGCAGCCCGCGATATTTAAAAATTTCCAAATTCGTCCTAACAAAACAATAACAATTTCGAATTAAAGGTTCACACAGTAAGTTTCAAATTTTCAAGGCGTTCGCATTTTTGCGATGGTAATAATTGACCTAAATTTTGATATTTCCGTTGGTTTCCTAAATTATAAAATGGGATGGCCTAGTTTTATGCGGCCGCTCATTTTTCGGCCATTGTGTAGGCCTAACGTTTTTCATTAAATTATCGCCTACATCTTGAGGAATTTTTAAGGTGATTTTGTTTTGAAATAATCACATTCTCAATACTCTCATGTTTACCGAAATTTTTTTCATTCAGAGGCGAGTTTTATTTGATGGCTATCTATGATACGGTTTTCGAATTCCCACTTTTCAAATTGAAATTTGAATTACCGCCCCGAAAAAAAATTCGATGGACCACAATTATTCAAAGCTTTTTCTCGCAATTGTAATACTGGCCAAATAATTAGCAAAAAAATAGCAAAAAATAATCGCAAAGCGAACAAATTTTTGCAGAGAATTTGGCGAGCTTTCCGACTGAATAGGTCAACAATTTTAATCGAATAAATTCCCAAAGGAGTCGAGAAATGTTTAAAAACGCACACAGACTTGAATCGTTAAACAAAAAAATGGTGAGAAGTGTTGATGGAGTTGATGAAAACTGGGTTGGCCACGTCTTTCTCAACCACAAAAAAAAGAGAGGGAGGGGCAAATTTGTGTGTGAACACCCAAACGCGATGCCGACACATTTTTTGTGTTGCAGACCCCCCCCCCCTCTGGTTGGTTTCCCCCAGAGACGGTCGATGGGTGTCGGTTCGTCCGAATATTTTTGATCGACACCACAATTGATATCGAAACTCAATCCTACCTCGACATTTTCGTGTTTCGATGGCTTTTCGAGTGAGCAATTCCCATACACGGGCCGCCTCGACGCTCGGCTTCTAGGTACGCATTGGGCTGAAATTATCAAAATTACAATTTGATTTATTTTTATTTCGGTTTTTGGGTGTCGTTCGTTCGATGGGCACCCTTGGCGAAAATTTCAAAAATAATTTTGGAGCAATACTGAGAGCTTAAAAAATGAGGATACAATAAATTGATAAAATCGAGAGATCGATTTGAAATAATTTGAAAAATAATAGAAATTCAAACAATTTTTTTTAATTAATATAAAAAATAAATAGACTGTGAGCCACAATTTTGAAATCATTAAAAAACGATTCTCAGGGTTTTCTTGAATTTAAAGAAATCAAAAAATCTTTAAACGATAAATTGTGACACGATAATTTATAAAACGTTTTGAGGCGAAGAAAAAATTGTCATAAAAGGATTTTACTGGTTCTATGTAGATTTTGCATAAAATTATAGTCGGCTACGGCAAACCTCTGGCAACCCGAAACCAATAGGACCAGGCAAATTTCGTAATTTGTCTGATCCGATTGCTTATTATTAGAATCCATTTTGTTTTAATTTTTAAATTCTATCCGACAAATTATCATCCGAAAAACCAAAACCCAATCGGATCCGGCAATTTACCAATCTCATCCGTAGAATTTCCAATCGGATAGGTTGTTTCCAGAGCCGAATTTTGTCGGATCCGATTGGTTTTGAGTTACCAGAGTACTGTTGCCAACTAACTGGTTATTTTGCATTTTATTAGTCGGTTTGATAATTTTTAAATCGAATGACGTTAGAAATTCAAGGAATTGCCAAATGCATCAAGAAATTCGCATGAAAACAATGAAATAAGCGTCCATGCGTGGCGGGACCATTTCAAAAGGCGCACTCGTAAATTGACCCGAGTACAGCAGTCGCCGGACTCCGACTATATGAAACTTTTTTATTGAGTGTTTTTCTCTGAAATCTTCCTAGCATCATAAATTCTAGAAAACAATGGAGACGAACATTAAAACTAAGAAGCAGACGTTTCGAAATAAAAAGTTAAGGAGAAGACGAGGCAAAGTATTAATAGAAGAGTGGCTCACAAACAATTTTAATCCCAGAGTTCTATTCGAAATAATTGTTTCATTGTGCATATGGAAGGAAAGTGAGTGCGAGAAGCGAGAACAAATTGCGACAGGAAACCCGACGGCGCACAATGTGCCGTCGTCTCGCGCAGTCAGTCGTCCTTTGTATTTAATTTGAGAAGCGCGACAAAAAAAAAGAACGAACGAGATGATGACCAACCAGAAAAAATCTCCCGCGACTTTCTCACCATTTTTTGTTAAATGTTTATTTTATAAATATAAGGCATTATATTGTTAATGTTTATTCAGTTGGAAAAGAAAAAATTAATTTGAAAATTCTCGACTTATATAGCGAGATGTCGAGTTAATGAAACGAATGATTCCATCAATCATTTTTATGCTCGCAAAGTTTTACTAAAAATGAGAAAAAAAACAACGGAATGGATTCCGAAAAGAGGATGAACATGTATGGACTAGCGATGTGGGCGTGGCTTTCATAATCGGATTCAGAAGAAGCTGGAGTTTTGATGAAAATGAGAGAAGAATCGGTGGCCGGCTTGCGTCGTTTGATCGCCTTGGCAACGCATTTATCCTTATCATAAGCTTCTTTTGCTGCTCGCCGAGCAACTATTCATACAAGGTTTCTATGAAAAGAATTAATGACAAATGAATAGCATTTTGTGGGAAATGAGAATTCAAAGAAAAGAACAGAAAAGAAGAATTGAAAAATGCGAAATTTGTGCAACGAAATGTGATGTGAAGAAATTCACATATTCATCATGGCTAAATTTGGCGAAATTTATATCAAGCAATGATTTGAGAAATAATTAAAACAAATGCTGAATTTTGAAGAAAGACAATTTAAAAAATTTATATAGTAAATGATGTTTTAAATAGTTTTAATAAAATATAAATAGCATAAATAGTTATAAAAATTATAGTTTAAAAAATCTGATTTTTTTACTTCCTGTAAAAAAATAGTTGCGGTCAAGAATCTACTGTGAATGTCAAAATTTTTCAGTTTTTTTTTTATAAAATATCATCGCAGATATCAAAACTAGAGATTAGGCTAGAATTTTCTGAAATAGCAATGACTTCCTCATTTTTTCCTACTTTTCAAATTTGTGGTCCCTACACCCCCCTCAACCCCTAAAATTCTTTTCAAAAATTGTGCGCAAAAAATCTGTCGTGTCGACATGCCCAAATGAGCAAGACTGAAGATTGTGCAAATGAGGTGAAAGTGAATGAACGAAGAAATTTTCTTTTCCGTGTGCGAGCGCGCGCAAGCGGCGACACAACACTCTTGAGCACGCCGGAAAGAGCACAAGCGGAGCGGAGTGCTGAACACGACACGCAG